GAATTTTGATGAAACTTCAGACAAATGTTTACCACATCAAGATGACGTGCAGAACGCATGTTCCGCATGGCTGGCTCCAAGGTCAAGGTCACAGTGACATTAACATTGAAAATCCTGTTTACATGATTTTAACTTGATTTGGCAGTCAAAGGTCATATCATCTTTGGAGGTAATTTAAAAAAGATATGATATATTATTTCATGTCTACTTTGTAACTTGTTTTTCATTATACAGAATTATCAATATAATTATAGTGAACAAATTCTTCTGTGCTGAACTCGTCCTACATTTCTCAACGGATTTTGTTCAAACTTTCACAGAAGCTTTGTCATCAAGCACCCTGGCACATATTGTCGGGGTTTTGTGATTGGATAGTTTTTGACCTAATTATGGCCCTTTGTTTTTTTCCTTATACATAATATTATAGTGAACACTTCTTCAGTGGCAATTCCTCCTACATTATTCATGTTTTACATTGCACATAGTTACATTGTTTGTTGCTTGTATTTGTATTTCAAATACAACATATTTATCTACAATGGTGATAATTGAAAACCTGGTTTCATGGCATTGCCATGTTTCTTGTTTTTTTTGAAAAAGGTGGTAATTTCTTTAAATTGGAGGGTAAAATTTATAAGATCCTGCTCAATATGTATTTAAAGGTGGCCAAGTGTCCCCTAACATGTGTCAATGAAATCTACCTTGCTACATGGTCATCATGAAACCTTCTTGTTGACGCTTTAATTTAACCCTTAACCTTCTGAATTTGTGTTATGGATTTGTCCAGGTTTGAATTTGGAACAGTCCATTCAAAGTTTAAGGGATTTCAATATCAAAATAATAAAATTGAGCTACTTACAGTATAAAGCCTGGTCAGACTACATGTAGTGCAGGCAGACCTAACTACACTGGTGGCCAGCTACACTGATGGCACATGCTAATCACTTTCAGTTTCCTTCAGGTTAAAGGTGAAGGACAAGTAACTCAGCATTTTATACCAAAGCTGAGTTTTAAACACTTTGAGTATATGAAGAAGACATATGTTATTGCTAGCAGGTGGTCTTTTTCCGCAGATGATCTGTAAACACGGGCTTGAATAGAGCTAATTCTAGCAAGAGCATTTGAAATTATGAAGTGTTACTCTCTTTATAATTACTTTTATTTTATGATCAAATATTTGAATGAGGAGAAATTTACACAATTTTAATGATCAGTATCGTGCTGTCATTCGTTTTGTCGGCAGCAAGTTTGGTCAATATTTGTTCAAGAAGAGTAAAAAGGATTGAGACATTGGACGTCCCTTTTAAGTGAATTGATTAAACAAATTATTCCAACTATTCCAATGTATTTCAGACCCAATGTTGTTTGCTGATTATTTAATATATAGGTTGAGGCAGAAATGATTTAAGTTGGTATACCCATGTATGACAGATACAGCATTTTTACTTCTCAAGACATCTTTTGAAATTTAATTTGATTCTTTTTATTTATTGACAGATGATGTATTATAGAAAAAAGAAATTATCTGTTTTTTCATTATTGACTGAATATATAGACTAGAAATGTAATAATTATGTACTTCTTAATTCTTTAATACATTCACTAATACATTTACTTATATTGATTTGAAAATAAGATATTCGACTTTTGAAGTAAGAAAGTTAATATGACTTTTGAAAGACAATTATGAGCCGCTTCCTGACATAACCAAAATAATGGGTTTGCGACCAGCATGGATCCAGACCAGCCTGCGCATCCGGGCAGTCTGGTCAGGATCCATGCTGTTCGCTATCAGTTTCTCTACTTGTAATAGGGTTTGTAAGCGAACAGCATGGATCCTGATCAGACTGAGCGGATGCGCAGGCTGGTCTGGATCCATGCTGGTCGCAAACGCACTATGTTGGTTTTGTCGCGACGCGGCTCATATGTTTCTGAAGAGTGAGCTTTTTTTGGCCAGGAAAATAAAATATCTTGGATCATTAACTAGTGATAAATCATTAAAACATATTTTCTTTCCTATCTGACATACAGTTTGTCATTTTTAATATAAATTTTGTATAAACAATGAAAAATAATCATGAGGAAGAGTAATGTAACAAGTTGTGGTATAGTTTACGGGGAAAGAGAACATTGCCAGGGATGAAAAATATCATATATTTACTTACTAAATATATGACCATGTTGTACTTTATCGTCTGTTACTCAACTGCAATATTTTTTTTTCCGCATTTCTAGAAGTTGCATTACAAATTACTAGTAATTACTCCATTAAATGATAAACAATGATAACAGGCTTTTACAGGTCAAGTACCAAATCATTGTTGATATAATTATTTTCTCAATACATGTGGGATTAAAAGGGGCATCGGTGGCCGAGTGGTTAAGGTCGTTGACTTCAAACCACTTGCCCCTCACTGCTGTGGACTCGAATCCCTACAGGGACTTTGGATTCTTTCATGTGATTAAGCTATCCAGCTAGCTTACGGAACATCGGTGGTTCTACTCAGGTGCCCGTTTGTGCCTGAATTAATGCACGGAGGTGCAACTACGGTTTTCCTCCACCAGTAAAGCTGGAATGTCTCCAAATGACCTATACTGTGTCGGTGTGATGTTAAACCCAAACAAACAAACAAACATGTGGGAAAGACTTTTTACAAATGCGAATCAAATCAGTGTTGATTTTTTTTTTCTCGATACATGAAATCCTCTTTTCAAATAAACTCCTGAACAAATCTCGAAGATGATTTAGTTTTTCAGTTTTAAATATGATAGAAATCAAAGTAAAAAGTTTCTGATAGCTTTTGTAGGCTCATTTATGTTTTTATAGATTTGATGCCTTTCCTTTTATCTAAAGTGTTTATCATGTATGTCATAAAGATAGCACAAAAATGTAGAAATCACAAGTGTGTAGGAGATGAAGATAAAAGATAAAAACTTGAAACTTTCTTTGCTTGCTAATTTTACTGTAATGTTCCACTCATTGCTTTACCTTTCACAAATTTTGTTTTGTCTGTTGTTTTGGGGGGTTTTTTTACTCACATTATGTGAGAAAATATTTCCTAAATGCAAAAAATGTAACTTAATAAATTGAAAGAAAAGAGATATGAGACTTTGATCTTTTACCTCAATTGTTTGATACACCTGCTGTTGTTTGAAGAAAATATGTAAGACTTTTTATTCTTTATGGAAGAGTTGCACCTGTCAACTTCTCTGGATTAGTTTTACATAAACAGAGTTGTTGCCCCTGATGAAGTCTTAGTCTTTAATGAACTCCACTGAGGTCCACTGAATGCCTTAAAACATAAATAAATATTTGAATTTCTAACATAGATCAGCAGGTGCTCTTAAAACAGAAAGAAATGCAAAAGATAATTATAAAATATATTTAGAAATAAATGAAAAAAATAGTATACCGCTTTGAGTGTGAGTTGCAACTCTTTTTAATTTTTTGGTATTTTTCACAAGGGTAATAACCTTTACCTTCATTGAAAATTATTGGCACAAGAGTTGTTGCCCCTAATTTAAATTAAATTAGGTATAAATGATATCACAGTAGTCATTCATTCATGTGATATCACATAATCCAAGTTTTCAGCACTTTGGGGAAAAACTGTGCTTGATAACTTTTTTATATGATTAAAAGAAAACGTTAAAAGTTGATGAAAAGAAAGTGCATAAGATTTTAATATCTATAATTTCCGTTATCAACATTATGTAATAAGGATATATGTTCCTGATAGTTTTAACTTTATAATCTTCATGAAAGCATTTTACTGATAAGCCCTGCTGCAGTTTAATGTATGATTGTCAATTAGGGATTTAAAGATTTAGGTTATTTGCATATTAAGATTTCTAAGAGTAGACATTATAATAAAGTGGAAGATTGTGTGTACTTAATGCTCCTTGTAAATTTATGATCATATTAAAACAAACATGTCTAGATCAATACTGATTACATTTATTGATCTGTTACGAGGTTTCTGTGCAATTATATACATGTTTATGTAGTAAAAACACCACAAAATTAATGATTTAAATGTTTAAAAATATTAGATACAAATCATTTCATTTAATTTTGCAAAGTTACTGTGCAATTATATATGTATAGAAAAAACACCACCACAAAATTAATGATTTCAATTACATACAGATTAAATCAATAAATCATTTTATTTAATTGCCAAAATCATATATAATGTCCTCCAGTAATTTTCAGCTATGCAGTTAAAAATTATATTCTGCACTAATTACTAGAATTAAATGATTATACTAGGAGATAAAATGAAATATGAAAAAAGAGTTAATTATTTTACGTGAAACATTTTTCATTCTACATAGATGCTGCATTGAATATAAACAAGTAATTGTCCCACTCTGTTTAAGAATTAAGCATTACTGATACATTCTGATCTACATTTATAAAAAATTCTGTTGATCATGTGGATTATTGAATAAATTATTTCATTGTAAAATTCAAAATTGAACACAATTATGGGAAATTTTAAAGTTGTTTTTATTTTTACCTGTTTATCTGACCATTTACACTTGCATTGGCATAATGTTACTTTAAGTCAAGATTAGGAAGCGTGCAATGTCGAGTATAAAAATCCACTGAAATGTCATGGACAAATCCATAGAAACTCTTTGTTTAGGTTGATAATTTAAAGGTGAAAATTGGGGGGTCCGTGGCCATGTGGCTTCAAACCACTTGCGCTGCACTGCTGTTGGTACAAATCCCTACAGGGACTTTGGATTCTTTCATGTGAGGAAGCTATCCAGCTAGCTTACGGAACATCAATGGTTCTACTCAGGTGCCTGTTCCTCGATGAAGTAATACACAGAGGGACACCTGAGGTGGTCCTCCACCAGTAAAGCTGGAAGGTCGCCATATGACCTTTACTGTGTAGGTGAGACGTAAACAATCAATCAAACAAACAAACGAAGGTGAAAATTTTTATGGATTTCTTGAAATAAAACTAGATATATTTTCTATTTTTCAGGTGAATATGGCTCAGCATGTAATGTCACCAGTGACTGTCAAGTGGGGTATAACTTTGTCTGTTTATACAAAAAGTGTGCCTGTAGTAGCTCCTACTTCTACAACCAAGGTCTATGTAAGAAAAGTAAGTTGATATTTTATATCTCGTGTAATGTTATAGTCAATGTGTTTCAACAAAAAGAAATATGAATTTTTAATTTTTTGCGGTGTTTTCTTTGAAGTGTCCAATGTCATTGAAAGAATTCTCTTCATCAGCAAGGTCAATTTTAGAATTGTCTTTATCTTGTGTAGTGTTATCAAAGTGTTCCAACCAAGGTCATTGTCAGAATTATTATCATCTTTCTGTAGTATTATAAAGGTGTTTCAACCAAGGTCATTGTAAGAAAGTGAAGTTGACAGATATCTTTAATTTGTGTAGTGTTATCAATCATCAAGGTGTTTCAACCAAGGTCATTGTAAGAATTATTATCATCTTTCTGTAGTATTATAAAGGTGTTTCAACCAAGGTCATTGTAAGAATTATTATCATCTTTCTTTAGTATTATAAAGGTGTTTCAACCAAGGTCATTGTAAGAAAGTGAAGTTGACAGATATCTTTAATTTGTGTAGTGTTATCAATCATCAAGGTGTTTCAACCATGGTCAATGTAAGAATCATCTTCGCTTTGTTTGGTGTTAACAAGGTGTTTTCTTCAGCAATGGTTATCACTATATAACATCGCAGTAAATCCTATATTAAGTCAAATGGTGATTACAGACTCTGCAGGTTTTCAACATATTCAAGCTTAATATTTTATTGTATAAAAAAAGAATCTTACATATCATTTTGTTAACCCTAAAAGTGCTGGAACCGAAAGTGTTAAGCCTTTGCCCCCAGTATAGAGCCAGGCCAGTCTGTACATCTGTGCAGTCTGACCAGGCTCTATACTGTTGGCTGACAAACTTAAATGTTCAAATTGATATCCCTAAAATTGATGATGGACAGTTCCAAAAATGGAAATGGGGCAAGTCCATTAAAAAGTATTTAGTATGTTAAGAGTTAAGATTGACATAGGAAGCATTCTAGTTTTCATTTTGTAGTTCATGTTTGTACTATATGTTTACTAGCCTGGGATTCAGACATTGATATTTTTTGCTTATTCATAACATACGCGCATCATACTCGATCGTCATAGATAGTTTTGATAGAATCAACGCCTGGGGAAACCTGCGGGGTTTCCCATGTAATTATCGACTAATGATAATCCTATTAATAGACCGATTAGCACGTGACCAACAAATAACATGACTAAATCGAAATCGGGGCGAAGATAACGAATGCTGAAAATTTGACGCCATTTACTATTATAAATTGCGTCCAGCACAATTCTCTGATCCTCACAAACTTTATCCAAATTAACTAATCAAACCTGTTGATCAAATTCACTCATCATGCAATAAACTTTGTCAACAAGTGCTAGATTTTAATCGGAAAAGGTGTTTTGAAAGCGAAGCTCCGTAACTGTTCGTTGAGCTTTGGGTCACTTTGTGGAAATTCCGTTTCTATTTTTAGAAACTAGTTTCTCGTTGCATGAGTTATCGTTCTTTAAATAACACCCGTAATTTTCGGGGTGTATACTAGGTGGTGCTTCGATCGAAAATCTAATTTCCCCAGGCTGTCGATTTGCCAAACAGAAGCACGCAAAAAATCGACAGACTGGAACCCAGGCTATATGTTTACTAACAATGTTACTATACTTTTCAGTCTGCCGTGGATCATCTGAAGGCTTGGTAAGGCATGGAGACTTTGATCACCAGTATGCACAATATAAAAACCGCTACACAAATTGCTCATACGTGGATGGAAATCTTGAAATAACCAGTCTCGAGAAAAACTACGACCTTGGCTTTCTTAAAGATATTGAGGAAATTGACGGGTATCTTCTGGTCGTGAATGTGTATTCGAACTATCTTAATCTTACGAAATTGAGAATCATTCGTGGTAAAGAGTTGTATCACTCCAAAGATGATGAATATAGCATGTACATTGCCTTGAACCATAATCCGAAAAATTTATCGGAAGGTTTGTTGGAACTACAACTCAAGAGTCTGATGGAAATTGTTCAAGGTCGAGTGTACTTTCAGAACAACAACCTGCTATGCTACCTGAACACAATTAAATGGGATGATATTAATCCAAACACAAAGCCGCCCACCAAATATATGTACGACTCCCTAGGTTACAAGCGGACATGTAAGTAATCAAATTTTTTTTTTTTTTTTAAATATAGTAGTAAGTTATCTTAGTAAACATGTAACCCCAAAATAAAGTTCAAAATAACGTTAAGTTCTTAATGGCATTGAAACATTATGTTTAAGGAAATTGTTTTTGTTAATTTCCAAAGCAGTTGGTCAGTTAATGCAAAGAATACAATCAGGTTAATAGTTTATCAATATTATAGTTCATTTGTCTAGAAATATTACTTGCTGATATGATATGTGCTAGAAAATGACTTAGTAACTGTGACCCAAAAAAATTAGTTCTCAACACAAGCAGCAATAATGTCTCACCAGTGTAGCCATGACACCAGTGTAGCCAATGACACCAGTATAGCCATGACACCAGTGTAGCCATGACACCAGTGCAACCATGACACCAGTGTAGCCATGACACCAGTGTAGCCATGACACCAGTGTAACCATGACACCAGTGTAGCCATGACACCAGTGTAACCATGACACCAGTGTAACCATGACACCAGTGTAACCATGACACCAGTGTAGCCATGACACCAGTGTAATCATGACACCAGTGTAACCATGACACCAGTGTAACCATGACACCAGTGTAGTCATGACACCAGTGTAATCATGACACCAGTGTAATCATGACACCAGTGTAATCATGACACCAGTGTAATCATGACACCAGTGTAACCATGACACCAGTGTAATCATGACACCAGTGTAACCATGACACCAGTGCAAGCATGACACCAGTGTAATCATGACACCAGTGCAAGCATGACACCAGTGTAATCATGACACCAGTGCAAGCATGACACCAGTGTAATCATGACACCTGTGCAAGCATGACACCAGTGTAATCATGACACCAGTGCAAGCATGACACCAGTGTAATCATGACACCAGTGTAATCATGACGCCAGTGTAATCATGACGCCAGTGTAACCATGACGCCAGTGTAACCATGACCCAGTATAATCATGACACCAGTGTAATCATGACACCAGTGTAACCATGACACCAGTGTAACCATGACACCAGTGTAATCATTACACCAGTGTAGCCATGGCAGCAGTGTAGAGCTAGGCCAACAACCATTCTTGCAGTTCGACATTAATAAACATTGTTATTTATTTTGACATTGAAAATTTATTTTTAAAAAGTTCAATATAAGGTGTAGTTTTCTATTAGTGGTTTAACATGATTTAATATGGGGCCATATAATATTGTAGGTCCACCATGTCCAGCAAGTTGTTATAACCCAGACACCACACACTCACATTGTTGGGGAAGCTCGAATGATATGTGCCAAAAAGGTAAGAAGTTTTGCCTTGATTCCTTCTATCAATTCTTCTATACTATCAGTTACAAACGCAAAATGAAATTTTAATAACTTCTAGTAATGAATCAATTGATAGTGTATTCACCACCAAACATTGTTACATGGTGGTAACGTTGGAAATTTTCTCTCTGGATGCCACATTGAATTAACCAGTTTAGTCACCGATATAGTTCCTGGACAGACTGTTAAGCAGTTTACCAATACTAGTTGCCTTCACTTTCCTAAGGAACTGATTTTCTGTATATTATAACCTACCAGAGCAGAGTTTCAGTGCGAATGACCATAGAAAGGATTTCATGATCATTCACAACAAATGATGGTTCCGGGTTCCTCGATTTACAGTCCAATGCTCTACCTATTGAGTTAACTGAGTTGGCTTTCTGTGGTTACCTGGAATGATCATCAGGACTTAATATTTTAGTTTTATGTTGCTATGGTAACAATAGGGTAGCAGTAAATTCTCTTTGTTACTTTTTAGTTCTTAGGAATTTTAAGTGGCATGGCTAATATGGTTTTATGTAGAGCTGTCATCAATAGAAACAAAATCGATGTATCGTTGATATTTTTATGTCAATCTATAATCGATATACATTTCAAAAAATCAATAATTTGGACTTCTTAATTAAATGTCTAGAAATTAGGAAGGTTCACCCAAAACATATACAGTAGCAGGTTTCCATGTCTAATAAAATATATGTTGTTACGTAGTGGAAGTATTTCACAGCAATGATGAAAAAAATGGTCTAGAAAAAAATCATGTAAGACGCTTATATAAACAAGACACTGAACAGAACATGTTTTCAACTGAAATCATTTAAACAGGTATAGAAGTGAATGACAGACAAGTAATTTTAGGTAATTATTGATATATCAGTGTATCGTTGATATTTGTCAACCGATATCGATATATCATTGATATGCCTTGCGTTGAATAAATGACAGCTCTAGTTTTATGTGGCTAATAAGAATTAAATAAGATGGCGTAAAACCTAAATGTAAGAATTTATGTTTAACAGATGTATGAATGTTTATTAAAATATTTACAGTGAATTACATCAAGGAAGTATGCAGCCAGTCATGTGATGGTCGATGTTTTGGAAAAGACCAGAACCAGTGTTGTCATACAGAATGTGCAGCTGGTTGCAGCGGGCCTCGCAAAATTGACTGTCTGGTAAGTATTGGTATACATAAGAACATAATTCATGTATAATTATGTTGTAACAGAATTCATGTATAATTATTTTGTAACAGAATTCATGTATATAAATTCAATTGTAACAGAATTCATGTATAATTATCCCCCGCCGATGGAATCGGGAGTGGGATATTGTTTTGGCATTGTCCGTCCATCTGTCCATACGTCCGAATTTCGTTTCCAGACTAGTTCTCTGCAACTACTGGCTGGAATTCAACGAAAGTTTATGGGAATCATCAGTATCAAGAGGAGATGCCCATATCGTCAGCTTGTTTAAGTCAAACCCTTTAACTCTGAGTTACAGCCCTTGATTAGTTATGCAGTATGCATATAGAGTAAAAATCATTTCTGCGCTATTTCTCTGCTACTACTGGCTGGAATTCAAAGAAACTTTATGGGAACCTTCAATCCCAAGAAGAGATGGGCATATCTTCGCCTTGTTTGAGTCAGTCACTTTAACTCAGAGTTATGGCCCTTGATTAGTTATGAAGTATGCATATAGAGCAAAAATCGTTTCTGCGCTACTTCTCTGCAACTACTGGCTGGAATTCAACAAAACTTGATGGGAACCTTCAATACCAAGTGGAGATAAGCATATTGTCAGCTTGTTCTGGTCAGACACTTTAACTCAGAGTTATGGCCTTTGATTAGTTATGCTGTATACATATTGAGCAAAAATTGTTTCCAAGCTACTTCTCTGCAACTACTGGCTGGAATTCAATGAAACTTTATGGGAACCTTCAATACCAAGAGGATATGCGCATATCGTTGCCTTGTTCCGGTCAGACACTTTAACTCAGAGTTATGGCCCTTGATAGTCATGCAGTATGCATATAGAACAATAATTGTTTCCGTGCTACTTCTCTCTAACTACTGGCTGGAATTTAACGAAACTTTATGGGAACCTTCAATACCAAGAGGAGATGGGCATATCGTTGCCTTGTTCCGGTCAGACACTTTAACTCAGAGTTATGGCCCTTGATTAATTGTAACAATTCATGCACTATCATATTGCAATAGAATTCATGTATTATTAAATTGTAACATAATTCATGTATAATTAATAATTGTAACAGAATTTGTTTGTTATTATATTGATGTTGTAACGGAATTCATGTATAATTATATTGTAACAGAATTCATGTATAATTATATTGTAACAGAATTCATGTGTAATTATATTGTAACAGAATTCATGCATTATTATATTGTAACAGAATTCATGTATTTTCATATTGTAACATAATTTCTTTATTATTATATTGTAACAGAATTTATGTTTTATCACATTGTTACATAATTCATGTATACTTTATGTAGGTGATAAGCTTGTATATAGCACATGATGAATTGTTGATACTATAAATTTCCGTTGCTCATTCTTATCAATTTTATTGAGGCTTTTTGATTAAATAAAACAATGCATGGTATAATTAACTGTTTGAGAATACAGCAGCATTTGTTAACTTGATAAATGTGTCTGGGTTTGATTATGTTTTTAACTAACAATCAAATGTCAAAACACACCAAAACAAGTTCCCGAATTTTGTAAAATTAATATAGAAAAAATCCATTTGTCTTATAAACTACGGCTGTGCATCTAAATACAAGCAATACAAAACCATTACAAACACTTTCTGGGGATTAGGTGATGGTGGAAGTGGGGTAAAAGTTAAAGTAACCTAACAGCTTGATATTTGACTAAACTAAACAACTTAGTTCTCTGCTTTAAATTGAGAACAGTCATTTTAAAGTAAAGGGATTTCAATATCAAAATTTAAAATTAAGCTACTAACAATTTAAAGTCCGGTGTCAGACTCCACTGATTTACTGAGCATTTACACTGGTAGAAAAAGAAACATTTCGGGGATTCAACTTAGCGTGAATATGGAGGCTTTAAGTCTCGCTCCATTTTTCAGTTCGAGCAGATTTCGAGGTTAATTTTGTATATTTCAGGCTTGCAAGAATTTTTACAATGATGGAGAATGTCATCCATTTTGCCCACAAATGAAACTTTATGATCAGCGACAATTAAAATGGGTAGAGAATCCGAATGGAAAATATTCATTTGGTTCACTCTGTGTCAAGGACTGTCCAAGTAAGTTAATATAACCTTTTACTTGTTGTAGTGACATAAACATAAACTGAAAGAGTGAAATTTATTGATGATATTGTGAACAGAGTAATGAATTTTAATTGTGTAATTTTTTTTTTTACATGTGAAATACGTGAAAATTTGTTTTTATATTATACATATAATTATTATCAAACATAACATGTTATTATGATTTTTTTTTATTCTTTTATGTTAATATATACATGTTAAGGATAGAAGTTAACAAGGATACTTAACAAGGGAGAGGAACTATATTAATTTTCTTTCGTTCTAACTCCTTTCAATAATATGTAGTAATCACATACATATAAAATATATAATTTGATGAAATATTGAAATAAATATGTTTAAACTTAGGAGATTTTAGCCTCATTAAATAATGGATGTCTCATACATTGTTACTAAGGCTTTGTAGAGAGATATATACAAGATTATTCCTGGTAAAGTAAATTTGCATCAATAATGAGATACTCTTAATTTTGTTGTTCAATATGCCTTATTAGTCGAGCTTGGCAATGATATTAATCAAATCTGCTTATAGAGAAAGATTATATTTATAAAATCAATTGATCCTTCTTTCTTGTGAACACTTAACGTAAGGACTACCTCTTATATTAGTGTGAGTCTTTTTTTTTTATCAATCAGACTAATAATCTGGATAAAATGTGATCCTTTGGAAGCATTTATCACAACAAAATTAGACAAAAATTGCAGACTCGGTTTAGTCTGTACATGAGAGATAATGAAAAAGTGCAACATCCCTCACAAACCTCTAGCACTGGCTTGAGGGGTACTTAATTCTCAGCGGCGGTCTTTAATCATCAAGTATTGTTTTGTTTTAACTGGCTTTTATGGTGCTGGTATTAAGTCCCCTCACTGCAAGTCCCTTCTATGTTATTTCCCGTTAAATTTGGCAAAATCTTTTCTTTCAAAATAAACTGAAAAGCAACTTCTAATCTCTAGAGGTTTTTTTTAGCCAAAAAGTTATTTTTAGACCAGTGAATTAGTAGTAACTTTAAAAAGGAAATGTTTTGAGAAATTTGGTGTGTTTGCAGATTATTTGGTGAAGGATGGGGATGCCTGTGTGATCAAATGCCCTGAAGGAAAAAATGCGAACAAATTAACAAATGTCTGCGAAGATTGTGATGGGCCGTGTCCAAAAAGTATGTAGACAGAGATGATATGTTTCTTGCATGATACTGTTTAATAAAATACAGGCAATACAATGTAGTCTTGGAATTAATAAGTCCCTGTAGAATTTGGATATGATATGAAATAAACCTGATATTATTTATAATACAATATTATTTATAATACATGTATGATTGTTTTGGAAAAAAAAGTTTATTCTTTAGAATTATAAATGTTTGATTATAAAGGGCTTTTCATTGTAAATGTTACACATTAAATAGAATGCATTGCGATTATTAATTGCCATGAGTTTTGTACAGAATTTTTTTTTATAGAGTAATGAGATTATTTGTTTGAATATTTTCAGAATGTGAAGGAGTGCCAGAATCCGAGTTTCTACACAGTAAGAACATAGAAAACTTCAGGGGCTGCACAGTGGTTGAAGGAAACTTGAAGATTCTAAAAGTTTCTTTTGTTGGGTATGCAAAACAAATGTATTATTTATTAGTAGAAACAACAAGATAAAAGTAATGTATTTTGTGTGACAAATGATAACTTTGTATTTAACATGAAAAAAAATTAACTTTTTGGTGAAAATATTTGCCCATCAAGACAAGGTTATTCAAGATCTAGGTAACACTAAGAATATCAAGACATAGGGGTTTGAGGCAGGGGGGGGGGGGGTGTCCGTGGCTGAGTGGTTAAGGTCGTTGACTTCAAACCACTTGCCCCTCACCGCTGTGGGTTCACGACAAGGACTTTGGATTCTTTAATGTTAGGTAGCTATCCAGCTTGCTTGTTGGTGGTTCTATTCGGGTGCCTTTTCGTGCCTGATTAAGTGCACTGAAGGGCACAGAGTTCCAGATAAGCTGCGAACTGTGAGCTAGAATTGTCCAGTTACTCAAATAAATTAAAATCTCGGCGTACAACAAAAATTTATTGTTTAAATAAATAATCTAATTCATTATTATCATGTGTGTATCAAACTTGCGCAAACGCATGCAAGCTGGACAGATTTTATTCATTTGCTATGTAAAACCCAACCAAATAAAACCAGAAAGATACTACGGTCATCAAGCCATACTAGGGGTTTCAAGCTCAGGCCACAATGGGGCCATGACAATGTTTCTTTAATTGATGTCAATGATTAGTGTTTTGTTTTACTCGCACTTCTTCACCTTCAGGATAGTCAGCAAAATATATGTATCGCTGGGTAGTTAGTTGATTGCTAAAAACATATGTTCACATTTTTACAAAAGTTTAGTTTTGATTTTCTCGTATTTAAGGGATCTGCATCAAGATACACAAAAGTTTAGTTTTGCTTTTCTTATATTTAAGGGATCCGCATCAAGATACACAAAAGTTAAGATTTCATTTTCTTATATTTAAGGGATCAGAATCAAGGTACACAAAAGTTAAGATTTGATTTTCTTGTATTTTAGGGATAGCCATCAAGGTACAGAAGGGATAAAGGTTGAAGATCTACAAATACTGAAGGACATTAAGGTGATAACAGGCTTCCTGGCTATACAAGAGGCCCCACCAGAGGTTAAAGATCTCTCCTTTCTTTCAGGCCTTGAGACAATCTATGGACGTTACCTATCGTAAGTATTGGATGTCCATTATAATGTATTAAGTTGTTTTTTTTTCTTCAATTAATATTAGGTGGGGTTTTTTTTACTTTGCACATGTAGTTTCTTGAAAAGATTTTTTTAATTGCATGAGGGAAGGAAGGATAGATAAGGGTCAGTCTGAGTTAAAGCTGGCATTGTTATACAGAACAAATTGAAATGATCATATAATTTATCAGTTTATCCTACATATACATAATAAGAAGGTAGATATGTTTTGTAATTTAATTCATATTTAACTTGCATGCAGAAATAAAAAAGAAATATCTTGTTTAAGATTAATAATATCTGTAATATTTTGCGGTTCGGATCAGAATATCCGTCCCGAGGTGACCCGCTCATTTGCGGGTGACCGAGGGATGGATATTCCGATCCGAACCGCAAACATATGTCAGATATTTTTTCTTGCATATTCTACCATATTCCATAATATTTTAAATTCTTTATCTTTATTTTCAATGAAAATTTATATCATTACAACCGTAACTACTTTCATTCAACAGCGTATGAATTACAAAATCATTCATAACGGTAAAATGACGTCATCTTTATCGTGCCATTATACAGCACGCGACTCATCTGGAACCCCCCATGCCAGATGAAATTTCCGGCATGGGTAAAACTAACAGAAACGCCAGTCTGATATGCAAGAATAGTATTTTCTAAGAAGTTATTACTTTGATTAATTAGTCATTATGAGTAATATATGATTTTTATTTTAATTAAAAGGTAAATAACACATCATAAATATGTACATAACACTTCATTAAGATTGGCCTACTATTGATAGAATAGATGTCAAATTGTGGAACTATTGTGGAATAGTTGTAAAATTGTCCTACTATTGATAGAATAGATGTAAAATTGTCCTACTATTGAAAGAATAGATGTAAAATTGTCCTATAACTGATAGAATAGATGTAAAATTGTCCAATTATTGATAGAATAGATGTAAATTGTCCTACTATTGATAGAATAGATGTAAAATTGTGGAACTATTGATAGAATAGATGAAAAATTGTCCGACTATTGATAGAATAGATGTAAAATTGTCCAACTATTGATAGAATAGATATAAAATTGTCCTATAACTGAAAGAATAGATGTAAAATTGTCCAACTATTGATAGAATAGATGTAAAATTGTGGAACTATTGATAGAATAGATGTAAAGTTGTCCAACTATGAATAAAATAGATGTAAAATTGTTTTTCTATTGATAGAAGAGATGTAAAATTGTCCTACTATTGATAGAATAGATGTAAAATTGTCCGACTATTGATAGAATAGATGTAAAATTGTCCAACTATTGATAGAATAGATGTAATATTGTCCAACTATTGATAGAATGGATGTAAAATTGTGGAACTATTGGTAGAATAGATGTAAAATTGTCCTACTTTTGATATAATAGATGTAAAATTGTCCTACTATTGATAGAATAGATGTTAAATTGTCCTACTATTGATAAAATAGATGTAAAACTGTCCAACTATTGATAGAATAGATGTTAAATTGTCCTACTATTGATAGAATAGATGTAAAACTGTCCTACTATTGATAGAATAGATGTTAAATTGTCCTACTATTGATAAAATAGATGTAAAACTGTCCAACTATTGATAGAATAGATGTTAAATTGTCCTACTATTGATAAAATAGATGTAAAATTGTCCTACTATTGATAGAATAGATGTAAAATTGTCCTACTTTTGATAGAATAGATGTAAAACTGTCCAACTATTGATAGAATAGATGTTAAATTGTCCTACTATTGATAGAATAGATGTAAACTGTCCTACTATTGATAGAATAGATGTTAAATTGTCCTACTATTGATAAAATAGATGTAAAACTGTCCAACTATTGATAGAATAGATGTTAAATTGTCCTACTATTGATAAAATAGATGTAAAATGTCCAACTATTGATAGAATAGATGTAAAATTGTCCTACTTTTGATAGAATAGATGTAAAACTGTCCAACTATTGATAGAATAAATGTTAAATTGTCCTACTATTGATAGAATAGATGTTAAATTGTCCTACTATTGATAGAATAGATGTTAAATTGTCCTACTATTTATATGATGGATGTAAAATTGTCCATTTATTGATAGAATAATGATGTTAAATTGTCCTTCTATTTATAGAATAGAAGTAAAATTGTCAAACTATTGATAGAATAGATGTAAAATTGTCCTATTTTTTAATAGATGTAAAATTGTCCAACTATTGATAGAATAGATGTAATATTGTCCGACTATTGACGGAACAGATGTATGTAAAATTGTCCTACTATTGATAGAATGGATGTTAAATTGTCCTACTATTGATAAAATAGATGTAAAACTGTCCAACTATTGATAGAATAGATGTTAAATTGTCCTACTATTGATAAAATAGATGTAAAATTGTCCAACTATTGATAGAATAGATGTAAAATTGTCCTTCTTTTGATAGAATAGATGTAAAATTGTCCTAATATTGATAGAATAGATGAAAAATTGTCCGACAATTGATAGAAATAGATGTTAAATTGTCCTACTATTGATAAAATAGATGTAAAATTGTCCAACTATTGATAGAATAGATGTAAAATTGTCCTACTATTGATAGAATAGATGTTAAATTGTCCTACTATTGATAGAATAGATGTTAAATTGTCCTACTATTGATAGAATAGATGTAAAATTGTCCAACTATTGATAAAATGGATGTAAAATTGTCCAACTATTGATAGAATAGATGTAAAATTGTCCTACTATTGATAGAATAGATGTAAAATTGTCCTACTATTGATAGAATAGATGTAAAATTGTCCTACTATTGATAAAATAGATGTAAAATTGTCCTACTATTGATAGAATGGATGTAAAATTGTCCTACTATTGATAGAATAGATGTTAAATTGTCCTACTATTGATAGAATAGATGTAAAATTGTCCAACTATTGATAAAATAGATGCAAAATTGTCCGACTTTTGATGGAATAGCTGTAAGATTGTCCTACTATTGATAGAATAGATGTAAAATTGTCCAACTATTGATAAAATAGATGCAAAATTGTCCGACTTTTGATGGAATAGCTGTAAGATTGTCCTACTATTGATAGAATAGATGTTAAATTGTCATAGTAATAGGTACATTATTTCATCTGGGGTATCTACTGTAGAACAAACAGTAACATCAGTAATAAGACTGGGGCAATTCTGACGGCAGAAAAGCTGTACATTATTTGAAAATCATAGCTAGAATCTGATTGGATGATACAGATGATTAAAATTGACCAATCGTAAAGCTACATTAATTATTGGTTTCAAAATTATCTAAGCATTTAATTATGTACTTTGGTGTAATCAAATGCAATGGCAGTTTTCAATAGATTAAAAGATGACCAAAAAACCCCAACTGTTATCAACCCATTGATAACAAGCTAAAATATACTATTAACAGGTACTCAGAAAAACTCAAGTAAGGCTTGTATCCATCCTGTATATTTAAAATTTAAGCTATAATTGCTTTTGCCAGAGCAGGTTTCATTTTTTCTTGGATTACAAAGAAAAGTCTTTTAAGTCTTTTGAAAGAAAAAACAATAACAAAAAAACAAAAAAGCGCACCAGATTTTTTTTTGTAGAAAATAAAGAAGTAGTGTTGTAGATTCACTGATTTAAGCTGCCTGTGCTTGTTTTATGGCGTTATAATAGGATTTCTTACTATATTACTGTATAAGGCAAGCCTTAAAATTATCTTTGTTCCCCTCCGGCTACCCATGCTAGTCTGGGTAGGGTAGGCAGATAGATATGAAGTTGTGATTCTAATTGACACTCTGCTTCCATGTTAAGTAAAAAAAATTGTTTTTGTTTTGGCTAGGCAATAAATTTCTGTGTAACTGTGATATTTGTGGGTAGGTAGTGGCAGGGGAAACAAACAATATTTTATTTTAGACCTTATGGGAGTGCTGTTTATTATAGTTTCATATACTATGGTATGTGGTTTGTTATGTTAATAAACCATTATTAGACATAAAATGTTAATTTACCATTATTAGACATAAACATAAAATGTTAATAAACCATTATTAGACATAAAATGTTCAAGGATGGCATACTCACTTGTATTTCAAGATAGAAAAGTTGTGGTGTAAGGAGCTTAGTCTAAAGTCTCTATAGCAACCAATGCTTCATCAATTTTGCCACTAATTCAACATAAAGAGTAATCATGGCAAAACTGGAAAGAAAAATATTTTTATACACCTAAGATTCTATGTGTATGTGCTTGCGTGTGTGTGTATGCATGTGTGTGTTTTTATTTTAAGTCCAGGCAGTTTCAATGAATCAATTAAGATATTGTATAGCACAAATAATCAGCATTGAGAAGTGGTTTGTTGCATGCAGAATTCAGGTCCCTGTGGCCAAGGTCAAGGTCACACATAGACAGAGATCTGGAAAAAAATGTGTATGTGAACAAATGAGCAGACCAAAGCAAAACTTCTATGTGTATAGAGGGATTTCAAAATAACTTGGCACAAATGTTCACCATTGTGAGGCACGGTCAAAGTTTGGATAAAAGAGATGAAGATGTGTATAAGGGTCAAGGTCACACAATGTCATAAAGGTCAAAGTTTGGATAAAAGAAATGATGATGTGAATAAGGATCATTTAGTCATCATTTATGGAGGAATTGTAAGACAAATGGTCATTATTATGACTATGGCTGTGACATATGTAATTTCGGTCAATATATGCAAGGTCAAGGTCACAAAAGGTGATGAAATATCCAGATTTTGTCTGGAGGATATCTCCTTCATGCATGGAAGAATTTTTATAATTCTTTATTCTCAGTTTATAAAAGTTATTAAGAAATTGTTTGGGTATGGTTAAATTGTTTACAGGAACACCTTATATCAAACATAAATATTGTGTGTTTGATTAAGGAAAATTCTTGAATGTTTCAAGCATGCATCATTATTTCCCTTCAGTTAATTGTTGAAAAGTCTGCGTGTACATCTCTGCCTAACACCACATATTTTTCAGCATACACTCAATAATATTTTTCATTATTTTAAACAATTCAGCTTAGCTTATTACCACTTGACCAGAAGGACTTAAGGTTTGCCCCTCATCGGCAGCTGCTTATCCAACCGTCTGTCTGTCTTTCTGAACATTTTGACTTAATAAGTGGTGTTTGCCAGCATACATGTGGACTACTGGGGCTCATTCCATGTACTCAAATGTTTATCGAGCACAAAAAAGTTGCATGTAGGATTTTAAAGATCATGAAAAATCAAAACCTGTACAAACACAGGCAAAGATACATAATTATATGTGACTTTGAGAACAATAGGTTACAGTACATATTCTTCAATTCTGTTCATTATTTATTGACTTGTATGACAAATTTGGGCATTATGTGACTACGTAGAATACAAAACAGAAAAGCAATGTAAGACAGCAGTCACAGCACCTGTCTGTCTGTCATGAAACATTTTGTTTTGACCATTTCTTAGCAACCCACTGACTGAGATTCAACTTAAAGACATCAGAAGAAGCTTCGAAGAGGAGTTGTGAATATTAGCAGATGGTTTCAGTCCAGGGATATGCCCCTTTATTTGCAGATTTCTGATAAAGTGATTCCCCTTCATTTGAAAATGTCTGCCTTTAGATGCATGGCTCTTTCGAGTAGGAAACCTCAAATGACAATATGCTTGTTTTATTTTTTAAAAAAAAATTTTTTCTTTCTTTTTTTCTTTTTTTTTTTCAGATTTCTAAGTGAATAAAAATGATATTTTCCATGTATGAATTCACCAAATATTTATTGTCTTGCTCTTGACTTTCAGTGAATCTCTATTGAAAGATTTAGATTGTCTGGGAAAAAAAATATTGTTTAAGAAATCAAGGACAATTTTTTTAATTTAAGTAAGTAATTGATTTTTTAAAATTAAAAAATTTGTAATTTTTTATTTAAGAAACGGGTTTTTCTGTTAAAAAAAAAATTATTTAAAAAAAAAAAAATTTACTAATTTTGTAGTATAGGATTCACTTTTTAACACATCATAATTTAAAAAATTTATTTTGGAAAAAAAAAAATAAAGTATTTTTTTTTTTTTTGAAAAAAAAAATTTTTTTTTTTTTTGGGTTTGGGGGGGGGGAATTTTGACAAAATTCCTGTTTGCCATCTTTTTAAACAATTTAAAAATTTTTTAAAAAGGAAACCTAAGTTTTAAGGGTTTTTTTTTTTTAAATTTTTAAAAATTTTTTTTTAATTTATTCTTTTTGTATTAAAAAAGTTTTTTACCGAAATCTTAAGGGTTAATCCTTTTAAAAAAAGTTAACCTTATTCATTCAATTAATTACTTTGAACAAAAATTAAAATTTCAAAAAAAGGAAAAAAAAAAAACCAAAAAAAAAAATTTTTTTTTATTTTTTTTTTTTATTTAAAGAAAATAAAAAAAAAAAAATTTTTTTTTTAAAAAAAAAAAATTTGGTTTTTTTGGGGCGAATCCCCCAAAATTGCATTTTATTTTTTTTTTTTTTAATTTTTTTTTTTCCCATTTTTTGTTATTTTTTTTTTTCTCTTTTTTTTTTGGGGGGGATATTTTTAATTTTTTAAAAATTTAAAAGTTGGGTTAATGTAAAAGTAAAAATATTTTATAACCCTGTTGGTTTTTTAATATTTTTTAAAGAAAGCCTTTTAAATCAAAAAATTTTAAAACAAAAAATGGAAAAATTGATTTTAATTTTAAAAAAAAATAAATAATTTTTTTTTTCCTTTATTTTTTTTTATCTGTATATTAATTATATTTAAAAAAAGGGTCTTGTATCAAGTAAAAAAAATTGGGTTTTTTTTTAAAAAAAGGGGGGAAAAAAATATCCTACCCTTTTTTTTTAATTTTAAAAATTTAAAACAAAATTTTTTTAAGGGGTTAAAAAAATTTTTTCTGTTTTTAAAATTTTAAATACTAAATTTTATTTTAATAAATTTAAAAAATTTAAAAAAATATTTTTTAAACCAAATATGTTCTTTTCAACCAACATGGAAAGGCATAAATTGTGGAAAGGCTGTCAAGAAGACAGTGTGTAAGTCTTATAATATTGGCTGTATTTTGCAAATGAAAATGATGTCTGATCTTATAAGACAAAAAAAAATCATATGGTTTTTCATTACAAAAATCTATAAATTCATGTATTTTTCAAATTTTCTCTCCTACTCTAGGATGGGACTCGGAATTTCGTTATTAAGCTTGGACGTGGAATGGCTGGGGCTCACGTCTTTGAAAAAGGTTTGGAACGGCGACGTAGCTCTCGCCTGGAATAACCATCTCTGTTATATTGAGGACTTAGATTTAAGCCCTATTTTAGCATTCCCCACCCAGCAGTTAAAGCTGAAAGACAATAAGGAGAAAGCCGAGTGTGGTAAATATAAGGCAGCAATAGGTGCCGGGCACAAATGTTTTAACGCCTTTCTGAGTGGTTTTTGTGTGTTTTTTTTTAATGTGCAAACAATGAAGCTTCTTTACGTGTTGTCTTGTTTGATGTCTATATATAAACATGTTTGGAAAGTTCTGATTGAAAAACGAATTTGATCAAAATTTGGCGTTTGGATTTTTTAAAAAAATAATGGAAGGAACAAATTTTCTTTTTGTATGGTTTAGATTGGTATATAGATGTCAGTCAACACAGGCACATCAAGAAGTCAGCATTGTACTTGTATATTTTAATTTGTTTTTCGTAATCTCTAATTTTAATATTTTATTTATTTAATTTACATGCAAGGTGAAAAGCAGTGGTCTGACAAAAATCTTTTTTTAGTCCTTGTGGCTTTTACATGTTTTATCATTCATTTCATTATTCCACAGTTGTGCTGGTCTTCCTTTACCTTCCCCCACCCCCACTCCACATCATTACTTTATACTTTCTGTTTAAAAGAAGAACATGTGATTTTTCCATTTTAGTGAAAAATGATATTTTCATTTTCACTCTTACTAGTACCAAATTCTTTGTTCCTTTTAGAGGATTCATATTACATCACCTCCATTTTTATGTCCTGTTTAGCAAAACTACATTGACATATTTGATATTCTTTTTGCTTTTTGAACAAGCGAGGTTGTCTCAAAGGTCATTGTCATTTACCATATTTAAAGCAAAGGTCACCTATAGCTTAAAAGCTTGTATTCAATCAGAATTCTGGCTAGAAACCATAGCTCTGTTTCTTTTTTGTTTCTAACATGAATTATAGAAACAATACCTCTCTCCTTTTATTTGGTATTTTAACCTTTTCTCTTTCTGAACAATCGGTTCTTATATTGATGAGGTCATAATTATTCTAGGCCATTTGGTCACTGTGTTAACTCTTCTATTTATGTTTTTATCATTTCAACTTTTGTGTATCACCCATCTTCAATCTTACCTCTTGTGTTCATCATTACCATTCATGAATATCATTTACACTTGTGTTAATCATTACCACTTGTGTTAACCTATTGTCATTTCCACTTGTGTCATTTCCACTTGTGTTAATCATTACCACTTGTGATCATTATGACCATTTTGTGTTAATTATCATTACCACTTGTGTTAACCTATTGTCATTACCACTTGTGTTAATCATTACCACTTGTGATCATCATGACCATTTGTGTTAATTATGATTACCACTTGTGTTAGCGATTGTCATTACCTCTTGTGTTAATCATTACCACTTGTGTTAGCGATGGTCTTTACCTCTTGTGTTAATCATTACCACTTGTGTTAGCCATTGTCATAACCACTTGTGGTAGCCATTGAAATTTCCACTTGTGTTTATCATTAACTCGTGTTCCCCTTTGTGACTGTAGGATTACCTTCTTAGGGTTAAGGCATCGAAATACCAGCCACTGTTTATCCCAGCATGATCGTGAGAGGCGACTAAATGGGTTTGAATTACTGAAGTCTATGCATCTCTTAGCTTCAGCTGGTGAGGTGGTTTTGACACCTGGTGTCGCTTTGAATTTGTAACATCCTAGGTTAGCCAAACTCATCTTTCCTATTTCAGCACCATATGACCTAAATTGTATTTGTTTTCAGTAAAACAAAACAAAGAAACACTTGTGTTTATCATTACCCCTTGTTTTGTTCATTACCACTTGTGTTATCATTTATGTTAATCATTACCACTTGTGTTCACCAATTGTGTTAATCTGTACCATTTGTGTTTATCATCAGTTTTTATGCTTGTTGCTTTGTCTGCTTGGCTTTGTTTTTTTTTATGTCCTTTAGTATGCTTTGCTATGTTTTATGTCATTGTGTTGTTTCAATGTTGTCATTGTGATGTTTTATTGTTGTATGTGTGGTGTCTTTGTTGTATTATATTATGGTGTTTACAGAAAACATGTAGTAGTTTACAGAATTAAAGATTCTTGATACATGCTTTAGGCTGTAAACAATAATAAGCATAAGGTAGCTCTGTTAAGTCAGAAATGTATTTAGTTTTAGCTATTAAGTTGTTTATGTACAGATGTACTAGAAGTAAAGATTTAGTGGTGAACAGAGAAAAAATGCTGTTAGTGCTTTCGTTAGTGTGTTGAGCAAAAGGGTGTCGGTATGTAGAGTGGGGTAAAATGTATGGTGGTGTATTCAACATATAATGTTGTGTTGTTCTGTTATAGTCATATGTATGTTGTGTGTTCATGTTGTACTGCATCAGCTGTATATATCTACCTAGAAACATCCCCAACCCCCCTTATATCCTTTTGTATTCATATACATTAGTACTTGTCAACATTTCTTACATGTCCATCTCAGTTCTTGTTCTTTCCATGATTGTTATCTTATTTTTGGGGGAAAATATTACCCAGAATAAGACATTTCATTATATGCTATCATTGTTTTTCATTTCCTTTTATATAAGTCATCATAGCATACCATATCATCTTTGCCATTTTTTAGTCAGTATTGTCAGATCATTTATACAAACATAAAGTTGTCTTTGTAATCATAGTCATTGTCAGAACATACATTGCCAGAACATATATTGTTATTGTCAGAACATCATTGTGATTGTCAGAACATTCATTGTCAGAACATACATTACCATCATTGTCAGAACATACATTGTCAGAACATACATTGTCGTCATTGTCAAAACATACATTGTCATTGTCAGAACATCATTGTCAGAACATTCATTGCCAGAATATACATTGACATCATTGTCAGAACATACATTGTGATTGTCAGAACATTCATTGTCAGAACATACATTACCATCATTGTCAGAACATACATTATCAGAACATACATTGACATTGTCAGAACATAGATTGTGATTGTCAGAACATTCATTGTCAGAACATACATTGACATCATTGTCAGAACATACATTGACATCATTGTCAGAACATACATTGTGATTGTCAGAACATTCATTGTCAGAACATACATTGACATCATTGTTAGAACATACATTGTCATCATTGTCAGAACATACATTGTCATCATTGTCCGACATTAATTGTCATCTTTGTCAAAACATACATTATTGTCATTATCAGAACATATATTGTCATCATAGCCATTGTGTCATCAAGATTGTTGTTCAAACAGTCATTGTCATCATTGTCAGAACACTGCTTTATCTGGATTCAATGCAATTGGAAAAAAACCTAGGTTGCACTTCTATGATTTGAACAATTAGAAGTTTTTTTCATAATTTTGATGTCTTTTTTTCCCTTCAAAATTTATTTTACTTTCTCTTAAGTCTGATTTGGTTTTGCTAAACGTATTTTGTAAGTGTTTTTTTTTTCTTGCAAATATGATGTATTCATTAGAAAAATTTGCTAGTATATTTTTTTTTCAAAATACTGAAGTTGTCCCTATTTAACACAGATACATGTTTCCTCCGAGTGCATCACAAAAAAACCTTGACCCCTGACCTTGATGTCCCTCTGTCACATAACTTATAGCCTAATTAAAAAAAATATCCTTATGAAATTCCTATGATTTGGTGGTAATAACTTTTTTTTTGTATTTATGTCTTTTATTTTGCAATGCGTTCCCGGCACCAATCATAATTGGTTCCTTGCGAAGTGGCTTCTATAACACCCCACCCACCAAAAATACATATATCAGGTCTCGATCTTGTACCAGTGCATGAAACTGTATGAGTATAAAATATATACGCCAATATTTTTATGATTTTATATACAAACAAACATATTGTTGGTCATTCAATATTGTATCATTTCTGTTTGAAAAACCGAGAGTTTATCAAGTCACTGTGTCGATAAAGAGATTTCAAATGTTAAGTTACGATTTAGAAAACTGTATGGAGAAAATTATGAAATATATTTAAAGATCAACTACGGTAATTGTTTCATGCCAATTAAATGAAACTTACTTTTTGATAATCTTTTTTGAAATCTTTTTTTCCATTATTTAACTTTGAATAATTTGTGTCATAATTTTTTTATTTATAATTGTTTTCAATTGTTTTATAATTACTGTTCATTGCACTTTTAATTGAGACTTGATATTTTGAAAAAAAAAACGAAAATATGCAACTTCCCCTCTTGACACATTGTGATAACAACTAACTTTCAGGAGCATTAAGTTGATGTTTTGTGTATCTAACAGGCTCAATGGTTGTTTCTCTTCTGTTTTATTTTCATACTGTATACAAGAAAATAGGTCAAGGTCGTCTCCATATTTTTGTGGTTTTTAGTATTATTTTTTATGATTTGGTTATCAAAATATAATACAGGTCTGATTTTCAGATTGATGTTTTCATTGGTCAAAATAAAGAGTTTTTTTCATAACGAAATTTGTTCGTATTTTTTGTCGTTTTTTTTTTTTTTTAAAGTTAAAAGAAGAAATTTTAGAATTTTCATACAAATTGGTGATACTTTCAACTATGGAAAATGTAAATGTCTGGAGATTGTTACTACAGGTATGGTCTGGATAACATTAAAAAGAAAAAAGGTGCTTATTGAGGAATTAATTCAGGCTTGAAAAGTAAATAAGCACAGGTATTTCAAGTCATCTGTATACAAAATGTTTTGCTGTAGTGTATTTTAAGAATTTAAAAAGAAAATCCCATTAATGATATATTTTAATTGATTCTGTTTCATGCTAGCCAAACTAAAAATTTCAAGAATTTTCTATCTCTGCAACATCATTTAGAATAAAATCCTGGTTTGCTTTATAAAAGGCAACTTAACTTTGACTTTAAGTATATACCAATGAAAACATTTGTTACATAATTTTTAAACTGTGGTTTGAAGCATTAGCCAATGAAAATGTCTGTACTTTGGCTTGTTTAAGTGTAAGCCAATGAAAATATTTGTTACATAATTTTAAACTGTGGTTTGAAGCCTCAGAGCAAATGAAAACGTCTTACACAATCTTTAACCTGTTGTTATGAGCATTAGCCAATGAAAACATCAGTTACTTTACATATAAGCTCTGATTTGATTTATTAACCAATGAAAACATCAGATATATATATACATATAAACTCTGGCTTGATGGTATTGTAATTATACATTTATGAGTGAGCCGTTTAACTACAGCTGTTTTTATTTTGATATTAATACTGGCTTTTGTTTTTCAGATTTACTCTGTACATTTATGTTACAGGCAAAAAAATAGTGTGGTTTGCATTTTATCAGCCATTTGCATCTTAAATAAAAATAAATGCAAACAACATTCATATATATTTGTACAGTTTGAAAAATTCATATTACTTTATACAGTTTGTAAAAGTGCAAACAATTGTGAGGCATTTTGTCAAAAATATAAATTTTATTCTTTTCATTTTGTATCTGAAGTCATGAACCACACTATTTCTTGGCCTTATTTTTTATGATATTTAATATGTGTAATTAAATGTTGTGGTCTAACTTATAAAAACACCAAACAACACCAGAAACTCACCAAGTGCCTTGACAACACTAATATCTCAATGCTTTACCATGGCAACAAAGAATGCCTTAATACTGAAAGCGGAGGTTATCTTACATGATTCAGTTAAAAAATAAACTTTTTTGTTTTCATCAATATGTTCAATAAACCATTTTGCATGATAAAAAGGTTAAATTGAAATTATTTAAGGTTTGATTTTGTGTAATTGAGCAAGTTTTAAAAGTAACACACATTACCGGCGAAATATCTGTTTCTAAAACTTGGCATACTCTAACAATGCTCACAATTCACTCCCCTTGCATGTTGATATTGTGGCCATATAAAATAATGTTACTAAAAAAATCATTAAATGTAAAAGTAAATATTTGATTTACTGTTAAATACATGTATTTCAAAATATTATTAAAACTAATTTAAAAAATGAAAATTATATTTTTCTATAAATGAGATGGAAAGATTCTATAATATTAATTTTGTTTTGAAAAAAATTAAGTTTGTCAGGCAAATTTATTTAATTATTGTCTTCTCTCTCTTTATATATATGATTTATTATAATATATAATATTATATTATATAGTTATATAGTTGAATCATTACCTTGGTGAGTTTCAAAGTTGACAGGTACTTTTGTCAACAGAAAATACAGGAGCATCTGTGTAATTAAATGTATAGATTTTAGATTGTTCTTTAAACAAAAATGAGTTAATTAATATACCAGCTAATTCATGGTTTAATGTTATAATAAGCACAAGACAATGTTAGAAATTTTAGTATAGAAACCATGCACCATTGGTGACAGGTGTTACTGAGTGGCTTCAATTTGTTGCTAGGGTTTTAGAAAATATAACCCATTCATTTTCTAAATGATGATGTTAATGTCAGATATATATTTCTCAAAATTTCCTTTCACACTTCCCCATTTAAACTCTGTTCATTTTACACTAGACCCATATTAAAATGATGTCACTCTTGATCCTTTGATGCAAAGTGTGGCACATGCTTCCATATATAAACATTTCAATATCAGTCTTGCTTTGATCAGTCCCCCTTGACATATATGATCTGGCACTCTTGTTTATGTGTAAAGTTTTGACATATAATATCTGGCACCCTTGTTTATGTGTAAAGTTTTGACATATAAGATCTGGCACTCTTGTTTATGTGTAAAGTTTTGACATATAAGATCTAGCAATCTTGTTTATGTGTAAAGTTTTGACATATGAGATCTGGCACTCTTGTTTATGTGTAAAGTTTTGACATACAAGATCTGGCACTCTTGTTTATGTGTAAAGTTTTGACATATATGATCTGACACTCTTGTTTATGTGTAAAGGTCATGTAACAGTTATTTTTGTGTCACACTTTGCCTTGTCACTTAATTGTGGAGGTGTAAATGGTGTGTCAAGTTTGTTCCACTGGATATGTATGTTAATTGCATTGAAACCAACCAGTTTTAATGTAAATGGTGTGCCACATGTCCAATAGTAAATGGTAATTAACACAATTGGTGTATCATTTTCCATTGTAAATGGTATGCCACACATGCTCACATGAAAACTTTCACCCCACCTTGCCCATTGAAAATTGTTTGCCACATGTGCTCAAATGAAAACTTTTATCACACCTTGCGCATTGTAAATGGTTTGCCACATGTGCTCAAATGAAAACTTTCATCACACCTTGCACATTGTAAATGGGTTGCCACATGTGCTCAAATGAAAACTTTCATCACACCTTGCGCATTTGTAAATGGTTTGCCACATGTGCTCAAATGAAAACTTTTATCACACCTTGTGCATTGTAAATGGTTTGCCACATGTGCTCAAATGAAAACTTTCATCACACCTTGCGCATTGTAAATGGGTTGCCACATGTGCTCAAATGAAAACTTTCATCACACCTTGCCCATTGTAAATGGTTTGCCACATGTGCTCAAATGAAAACTTTTATCACACCTTGCCCATTGTAAATGGTTTGCCACATGTGCTCAAATGAAAACTTTCATCGCACCTTGCCCATTGTAAATGGTTTGCCACATGTGCTCAAATGAAAACTTTTATCACACCTTGCGCATTGTAAATGGTTTGCCACATGTGCTCAAATGAAAACATTCATCACACCTTGCCCATTGTAAATGGGTTGCCACATGTGCTCAAATGAAAACTTTCATCACACCTTGCCCATTGTAAATGGTTTGCCACATGTGCTCAAATGAAAACTTTCATCACACCTTGCCCATTGTAAATGGGTTGCCACATGTGCTCAAATGAAAACTTTCATCGCACCTTGCCGATTGTAAATGGTTTGCCACATGTGCTCAAATGAAAACTTTCATCACACCTTGCCCATTGTAAATGGGTTGCCACATGTGCTCAAATGAAAACATTCATCACACCTTGCCCATTGTAAATGGTTTGCCACATGTGCTCAAATGAAAACTTTTATCACACCTTGCCCATTGTAAATGGTTTGCCACATGTGCTCAAATGAAAACTTTCAGCGCACCTTGCCCAATGTAAATGGTATGCCACAAATGCTGACATGATAACTTTCAGCGCACCTTGTCCAATGTAAATGGTTTGCCACATGTGCTTAAATGAAAACTTTCATCACACCTTGTCCAATGTAAATGGTTTGCCACATGTGCTCAAATGAAAAATATTTTGTCACACCTTGCCCTTTGTAAATAGTATGTCATATGTGCTCAAATGAAAAGTATGTGTCATTCTTTGCCCATTGTAGATGGTATGCCACACATGCTGAAATGAAAATTGTGTGTCAAAACTTTGTAAATGGTATGTCACATGTGCTCAAATCAAAACAGTTTGTAACACCTTGCCCATTTGTAAATGCTAGGCCACATGTGTTCAAAAGTTTGTGTCAGACCTTTCTCATTGTAAATGGTATGTCACACATGCTCAAATGAATTAGTCACACCTTGCCCATTGTAAATGGTATACCACACATTCTGAAATGGAAATTGTGTATTGTTAATGGTATGTCGTGTGTGCTGAAGTGAAAACTTGTGTCACACTTTGGCCATAGTTAATAATGTGCCACACCTGTTCAAATGCAAATGATGTGACACACCTGTTATATTTGAAGAGAATGTCACACTAACTAGTATTCAAATAAAATGAATGAGTCTGACCTATTATAATCAGGTTTTGCTTCATTGAAAAATTATATGTCACATCAGTTCTGTTCCAGCCTGAATGATGTGACACATGTTCAAATCTAAAGTCTTGTTTTGATTATGAAAATACTATAAGCAAGAGAAATATATTGATGGAAGTATTCTAATTTCCAAAAAAATTCAGCTGTACAAAAAATACAGTATATTGTTTTAGTGTCTATTTATTATACATTAAGTTGATTGGATACTTCCATGTCTGTTACAAAATTGTTAACAGCTATTGTATTGTATACAAAAACATTAAACATCTGTACATGATTTGTCTGAAAAGGAAATTAATGTAGAGAAATTGTGTCTGTTTTCGTAAAATGATTTTTCATGGAAAATAGCTATAAAATGTAAGCAGCACTATCAAAATTGATAGCTACCATGCAAACATTCTGACAGAGCGCTTAATATTTTATTATATTACATTATCCTAATTGAAAAATATGTGTAGAATTATTTTCTCTCTATCTAATTAGATAATGCTCATGTTTTCAGATGCCATGGGTCTTAAATGTCATTCCGAATGCTCGGATCATGGATGCTGGGGTCCAGGACCAGACAAATGCCTTAAGTGTAAAGCAGCTCGCATGGCTGTAAATAATACATGCTTGGCAACCTGTGATGATGTACCCATGCTTTACCAAGCAGAAAATAACACATGTAAACAATGTCATATCCAATGTGCCGGTGGTTGCTCTGGTCCGGTAAGTTTTGCTCCCGGTTTAATTCAAAGCTTAGTGATGAATGTTGAATAATTTAAATATGACTTTGACCTTTAATTGACCTTGACTGTCAAGGTCAGACATTATTGAAAGTTCAACTGTCATTACTTTGTGATTTATTTACAGATTTGATAAATTCTTTAAATTTAAAGCTTAATGATGAATGTTGAATAATTTAAACAATGTCCTTGACCTTTAATTGACCTTGACCTTCAAGGTCAAATATTTTCTTGATAAATACTTTTATGACAAAACAGAAATTTTGATTTATTTAAATATGACCTTGACCTTTAAATGACATTGATCATAAATATATAAAATATTATTTCCCAGTATCTTTAATTTTTAACATAAAGTGTGAACTAATAATAATAGTAGTTGTTCAATACTTCAGTTTAAAAGCGAAAAAAATGATAATATTATGTTCTTGTTGTTGTTTCAGGGTCCGGACCAATGCTTTGACTGTAAGAAAGTAAAAGTTCTTGGGCAGAACAACACATTTGAATGTATGACAGAATGTCCGTTATCTGTCGGACAACCATACTTATATCCTGATGAGAACCGTATATGTCGCCAGTGTGATCCATCGTGTGACAAGGGGTAATCATTATTTTATCTTGTTTGCTCTAATTTAATAGGTCCAAAAGTCACATGAGTCGAACCTTCTTAAAGAGTAAGACTAAAACAAGGTATTGGAGCACTGCACTTAATATTGTATTAGGGTATATAGTGGACAAGGCGCTCAACTTATACAATTCTAAGATCTTGCCCTTTTCACCAGCCGAAGTGCACTTTAAAACTTCAAATTCATCAACTAACACTGATTTATATACAATAATGAATAGAAAAATGTAAGAATCTGCGAAAAAATGGGTATTTTACTACTTTGTGATCATTATTTTTGTAAGCATTTAGAGGTACTGCTCCAGCACTGTATCAAGTTTAAGTCAGATAGATATGCTGCTGTTAATAACAGTAACAACAAACTGATTAAGGCATAATGGCGGCCGTTTCCTTGAGCGAGAAACTTTACACTCATTGCTCAGTACTGGTTGGTTCCGAGAACGGATTCGAGAATGTGTTTATAAGCTTATATATTCCTACACACTCAAACTAAAATAAATTCTGTATGAGCCAAAATATCAATCATTAAAACGAAATAATGGAAGAATATATGTGTCTTGTAGATGTACTGGACCTTCGTCAGCTGTAAAACTAGGAGGATGCAATACATGTGTGTTGGCGGTGAATAAAACTCTGGAGAATGACACTGTTCGGTGTCTACCTCAAGATCAAGAATACTGTCCTCGAGGGTTCTATGAAAAGCAATATCGATCTGATGTAGACCATCCTCTTAATAAAAAAAGGGTATGTATTATGTAATGATTTAAACAAACTTTCCCTTTTCTAGGCTTTTTTATGCAGAATATTCTCACACCTAGTTAGAATCTAACAAGCTGGGGTATTCTTGCATATCATACAGGATTATCTACTGTTTATACTTGTGCCAGAAAAATGTATCGGTAAAATAGTCACTACTATAAGAAAAAAATGCAACATAAAAATAATATAAAAGATGATGATGCCATCATGAAAGATGGTCAACCCACGCTTTCCAGATATCTTTAATAGACAGAAAGTGACAAAATGTTGGCAGAATTTATGAGTATGTTGACAGCTTGAATACTTTACATCAAAGATAACCTCTAAGCTCTTGTCTAGTGTGTTTTATTAACCAGGAGGAAAAATGATTTAAATCTAGGTATAGGAATGGCTTTATTCAAAGATTGTATAGTTTTGATGATGTTATCATACAATGTTGCTCATTTGGGAGTTCAGATGTGCAGCAATGCAATAGAAATGGCCTTAACAACAATCATGCTCTTCTGTCAACATACATTTTGATAATTTTCCAATCTTAACATCGTTAGAATACGTGTTTTGTTTTATCAAGATTTAGTTTCCATTAATTTTCAGGTATGTCAACCATGTAACCATCTATGCTTGGAATGTAATGGACCAGGGAATGCAAACTGTCCTAGATGCAGATATTACAAATACACCAGCCAATATTCCTCATGTCTAAAGGAATGTCCCGAGTATACATATCCATACCAGTATCAATGTCTTCCATGTAGTAATCAGTGTTTGGGTGGTTGCCATGGTGCCGAATCACTAGATTGTAATAACTGCCTCAATTTCAAGGTCTTTGTTGATGAGGAAGCGGAAAAGGTAAGTGTTTAGACATATTAGGCTCTGCATTCTTGATTTATAAGACTCTACGAGGGTTGTCCCAAAAGTCCGTGACAAATCTTACAGACGGTTCATTTTTAACACCAATAGATGATAATTCACACAATATAGCCTATAACTTTATTATTTTACATGACAACAAGTCATTTACAGAATATCTTCTCTAGTTACTCAAAAATTTTCAATATTAACGACATTGGTTTGAGTTCCGGGCACACGTCAAATAATTGGCATTTTGTTATGAAAAGGCTTGAATAAATTAGGTATATTTCAAATATCTGATGATGTGTCTTCACAATGTCACGTTGACTTCCTCTGCTGCTATGCTGACATCATTGTAGAGAATTTCAGTTAAATAACTTAAGAAACGAGCGAGATACGGAAAAATAAAAATATCCCATAGAAGATAGGAAAGTTAAAATGGCGGCGTCCGAAGAATTTGCGGCACAGCGAACAGTTATCAGGTTTTTCTTGAGTATTTTGGGATGACACCTATTAAGATTATTCAACTAATGCACAGAATATAACAGTTAAACAACATATCCTGAGCAATTGTTTACAAAAGGTATCAACAGAACCAGAGTTCTGTTCTACAGAAAGTAAAATTAAGGAAAAATGAATAGGAAGATTGATCTCCGTCGCCTATTTCCCACAACTAAAACGGGTACAACTATACAGGAGCTCACTTATTGCAAGAAATTTCTTGGCATAATGGGCCTTCAAACTAAATTTTAATTGGTACAACTTAATCACTCAAATCCAAGAGAAAAAGTCTAAATGATTTGGTTACTCATAAATGTGTATTAAAATAGTTTTGTATTTTGTTTTCAAGTTTTCCTGTGTAGAAAAGTGTCCTGATGACCTCCCCCATTTAGTAGAAGATAAAGATCCAGACAAACCAACAATGACGGTCTGTGCCTCAGATGACCATCCAGCAGTCAAAGCAAGAGATGCAAAAAGAAAAGAGTATGATTTTTTTTTTTAATCAAAAGTCTTCATTTAAAATGAAGAGTATAATTTTCTTTTTGTTAATGATTTATTTTAGATCAATTTTTTTTATATAAAAGATATATTAGTGAATAATATGAATTGCATCTTACTGATGCAAAGGAGTTACATAAATTGTATCTCACTGATGAAAAAGAATAATATAATTGTATCTCACTGATGCAAGGAGTTATATAAATTATATCTCACTGAGGCAAGGGTATTATATAGATTATATCTTACTGACGCAAAATAATTATATAAATTGTATCTCCCTGATGCAAAGGAATTATATAAATAGTATCTATCTGATGCAAAGGAGTTATATAAATTGTATCTCACTGATGCAAAGGAGTTATATAAATTGTATCTCACTGATGCAAAGGAGTTATATAAATTGTATCTTACTGATGCAAAGGAGTTATATAAATTGTATCTATCTGATGCAAAGGAATTATATAAATTGTATCCTAATGATGCAAAGGAGTTATATAAATTATATCTCACTGATGCAAGGGAATTATATAAATTATATCTCACTGATGCAAAGGAATAATATAAATTGTATCTTATTGATGCAAAGGAGTTATATAAATTGTATCTCACTGATGCAAATGAATTATATAAATTGTATCCTAATGATGCAAAGGAGTTATATAAATTATATCTCACTGATGCAAGGGAATTATATAAATTATATCTCACTGATGCAAAGTAATTATATAAATTGTATCTCACTGATGCAAAGAAATTATATAAATTGTACCTCACTGATGCAAAGGAATTATATAAATTGTATATCACTGATTCAAAGGAATTATATAAATTGTATCTCACTAATGCATTATAAAATAAGAAAAACAAACAAAATAAGTTACAGTATGAAATAACTTTTATTTTTCAGTGAAGAGAGAAAGAGAATTTTAACTATTGCAATACCTGTCTGTGCTGGAGTTATCATCCTGGGAATTCTTCTTGCGTTGTTTGGTTACTATTGGAGACAGAGAGAACGTGCAAAAGAGAACACTTTAAAACTAACAGCCAAGATGACAGGAGTTGTTGATACAGAGGTAGGATATTTCACACATTGAGTGAGACTAAAAATACCAAAATGATGGTTTCTATTAACGCTCATAAAGGCTCGTAATCCTTATTGAGCGAGACTGGAGCACCACACTAAATACCGTACACCGTTTAATATCAGACAAGGCGATTAAATGCTAAAATCTTTTGCCTTTTTACTCGCCTAAAAGCACTTTAAAACATCAAATTGTTTTCACACCAATTTATATATGATAAAGAATGAAAAATGTAAGTATAGGGAAAAAAGGTAATGCTTCAACACTGCAGTAAGTTAAATTCCTACATATTAATTTCTTGTAAAGATAAGAAGTCAGTTAGATAAGGAGGTTAAGGTTTTGACTTAGACTGGCATTTGTGTACCGTATATGAATCAGGACATAGACTTTGAGGTCTTTTCTCATTCAAAATAACTGAACAGTTGCTGTATGACTTATACAGATTCATTGTGACTTTTAACTATTTAAAATTATCTGTAGGTAATATGTAGAAATCTTTAATTTGTTTTGAGTAAATATGGATCATATATCACTTGTGTTCAAGATGAGATATTTCTGATATCTTCATTATTATGATACTATGCTGGATATCCTTGAACAATAAAAAACTTTACTTTTCCTGTTAAAATTTAAAACAAAAAGACTCAATTTGCATTGAATGATATAAAAGTAAGTGATATGAATTATATCTCACTTATGTAAATGATATCACAGTAGAAAGTGAGTGATATGAATTATATCTCACTTACGTAAATTAATGAAACAGTAGAAAGTGAGTGATATGATTTGTATCTCACTGCTGTATACTGAATATCTCATTCATCTCAATGGTTAACGTAATAACATATAAGATGAATGAGACTTGTTCATTCCAATAATAAATTTCTGCTCTCTTAACCATGTAGATATAAAGCAATCCGCAAAGAATTTGAGGCAATTAATAGACCTACTCCCTGGATAACAATAAATTACTGTATTTATTTTGATTGAATATATTGTATGAGCTAGAAGCCATCGAGTTTTATTCTATTATATGATAAACTGATATATCTTATGCTAGGAATAGACAGAAATAAGATTGTCTGTGTTTAGAGCTTGTGATACCACTTACTTATCACAGCTTGCAGGAGAAAATTTGCAGATTTTATAAAAAAAAATAGCTTTCTAATTAAAAAAGCAAGGTTCATGATATATATCAGTCTGTTATAACTGTGTTCAGTTGTTTCATTTTTAGCTCGACTTTTTTTTTTCTAAGGAAAAAAATGTTATTGTTATAGTTATAGCGTTGTTGCCTCGAACATTGCCCTTGCTGTCCGCAAACTTTAACTTTGATCATAACTTCTTTTATTTCTTGGTATATTGTCTTCATACAAACAACCTTTGGGACAAGTCCTTTAAGTACACCAGTTAACCATGACCTTTGTTCATAATGACCTTGACCTTTAAGGTCAAATGTCTAAATCAAACCAATGATTTAATCTTCTTATAATCGAGATTAATTTTTTCAGCCACTCACACCTACTGATGCTAAACCAGATTTGTCAAAGTTGAGACTTATAAGAGAGTCGGAGCTAAGACGTGGTGGAATCATTGGATCAGGGGCCTTCGGCACAGTGTACAAGGTAAAATCATCAAAAATTACACAAAAGTTAAAGTTGATTATGAAAAGATGCCATATAAAAAAAATTGTTTTCTTTAAGACTCATTATGCCCCAAAAACCCTTTTATTTCCCAAAAGCTTTTAATTTGTGGTCTTATGATAAAGTTTCAAATAAGATATTGATTTGCCAATTACAGTAATGGCTAAGTATTTTGTATGGTAGTCAAAATACTACTTTGTTTACATTTTGTTACTTTTCTGACAAATAATTTCAAATTCAGTGCTTTTTTTTCCTCAGGTGAAAAATATCTTACATGCTATAAAATGATTAGTTAAATGTTATAAATTTCATACTTTCCCGTTCTAAAGAATGAAATATTTTTTCAATTCTGAGGCATAATGTGCCTTTTACCTTAAGGTTGAATGTACTTATAACATTTTGGGGGACAGGCCTCGATTTTGTCGAACTAGATAAATCTTTCATATAAATACATTTTGTAACGTATTTTAGGGATTTTGGATACCAGACGGAGAAAATGTTAAAATACCAGTTGCTATAAAAGTTTTACAAGAGGGTACATCACCTAACCAGAATCAAGAATTGCTGGAAGAGGCGCGTGTCATGGCATCAGTCGAACATCCATGTTGTATCAGGATCCTTGCTGTCTGTATGGCATCACAAGTAAGTTAAACTCATTTCAAATCAACAACTTGTTAAAAAGGGGGCTTCGTAGCCGAGTGGTTAAGGTCACCACTGTGGGTTTAAATTCCCACAGGGACTTTGTATTCTTTCATATGAAAAAGCTATCCAGCTAGCTTACGGAACGTCGGTGGTTCTACTCATGCGCCCGTTTGTGCCTGAAATAAAGAAGGGAAGGGCACCTGAGGTCTTTTTCCACCAGTAAAGCTGAAATGTCGCCATATGACCTATACTGTGTCGGTGAGAAGAAAAACCCAATCAAACAAACTTTTTTTTAAAAATAAATCAATACATATATGTATTTTACTTCCCTTGATGTTCATTTGACAACTTTGAGATTCTGCTTGAAAAAAAATGTTGTCTTTTTTAAAATTCTGCGAATATTTGTCTTATGAATTTATGCTGATTTTAAGTTTAAACAATTCTTTCTCAAAAAAGAGTTATAAAATATACAGTAATACATTGTAATTAAATAGTAAGATTCCTTGTCACTTATAAGTTAGTATATTTCATGTGAAAGAGATCAAAGAGTTTTTTACATGGTGTCAGTCTACACCATGATGTTGCAGTGATATTTTTAAATTTGTTTAAATATAAACTAGACCAGTACAACTCTTGCTTCATGGTTCACTTAAACAAAATTATGTTTAGCATTTGTCTCCCTTTTTTTGTTAAAATATGTTAAATGACATACTATTGTAAATATATTGACTAGATGTTTACAAGTTGTCACAATTGTTTGATTACAAATAGTAAATTATATATTTACTGGTTTTTTTTCCTAAATTAGATGACAAGCTTTTATTGCTTAGCTCCGAAATTTCATGGAAAATCTGGTCACATGGTTAAGTTAGAAAATAACTTGAGACTTGTTGAAGATAAAGATTTTATTGAACGAACAGTGACTTTAATATTTTACATGCCCACCCATCAATATATAAAATTCTTGGCTGCCCATCTGGAAGTAATTTAGATTATCATTTAATATACAGTAGCTCTGAAGAATGACCTTGACATTCACTTACCTTTCTATCATGTAAAATCATAGTCACTGGTAGTTCAATATAATCTTAATCAATCCTCAACAAGTCTCGTTTGACTTACAAATTACAATCTATGGTGTATTTACAAGGATAAACGTATTTCAGATGATGTTGATTACACAGTTAATGCCCCTTGGTTGCCTCTTGGACTACATCAGAAAACACAAGGATAACACCGGATCTAAATCCTTGCTGAACTGGTGCACACAGATTGCTAGGGTAAGCTATTGTCAATTTTTTACAGAAATTTATGTCTTGAACAGAATGCCCTCTTATAAACTGTGTAATTATTATCTGGCTCAATTACCTTAGGCTGTACAAATATAGATGTATTATTCTAAATATGCTGTTACTTTGTTAATTCTTAGCAACAATTGATTTGTTAAATCAAACTGATGTCGGTTAGATATAGTTTCATTATTTCTTATAGCTGCCCTCAGCTTTTTTAAAGATGAAATAAGTTATTTTTAGATAAATTGTTTCATATAATTGTCAAATCAAAAGAATTAAGGTGAAAAATAAAAATTGTCATCATTAAAATTAAAATAAACAATAAGGGAACCCCTTGATACCTCTAATCTTCTGGTTAGCTCTCTTTATGTAAATTATTACAGTTTATGTAAATTATTAAAGTGATTATTTCCCGATCTTCTATTTTAATAAACGAACATCGCTGCCACGTTATAAATCGCTATTGGGGCACTGTTCTAAAGACGGCTTAACCTTGATATGATGCACTTTTCCAAGATAAAATTACTGAAATACTTAGTTTGAAACAATGCAGAATTGTTTACAACAAAAAATAAAAGCTGAAGGCCACTTTAAAGACACATATCATGGAAAAATACTAGAACAATATTAACAAAAGGCCTTCCAAGTTGCTTACATTTTTTTCACTGCAAAGTAACAGAGTTGATTGAGTCATGCTTGTCTGTAATTGTTTGGCAAGTTTTTACCTTGTTAACTGTTGACTTAATCTTGGTTTTATTCTTGTTTACAGGGTATGGGATATCTAGAAGAAAGAGGTATCGTTCATAGAGATCTGGCTGCAAGAAATGTCCTTGGTATGTAACTTGTTTCTAAACTTTTTATCTTAATGCTTTGAATAAATGTAATATGTAATAAATATTAAAATGTAATATATAATGAATAATAATTATAATGTTGTATAATGCGATGCATGGGTCACAAGTATAGAGCTCAATCAGTATAATCATTACATCCATTTATATCTGACCCATTTTATTGTCTGTAAAGTTTTATTATTTTGATCATAAAATCTTATATAAGTATGTTCTTGTATCTAATATTTAAAATCAAATTCTTCACCAAATGGAGTAATACCATAATTTGTTATTTCAAATTTTTACAGTTCAAAGTGCTGGACAAGTAAAGATCACAGATTTTGGTCTTGCCAAGCTTCTAGACTACAATGAGGAGGAATATCATGCCTCTGGTGGAAAGGTTTGATCATATTTCATCTTTATACAAAATAAACAAACTTAGCAGTTATAAGTAGTTATCTTGGATAGTTTAATCTAATAGAATGAGTCTGCGCATCTGTGAATCGGGTGACCCGTGTTTGATGCCTGGATGGTGCAGGGTCACTTTCATGGTGATTCATGAAATCTTTTCTACGGTCATTCACACTGTACCAGTCTGCTCTGGCATGTGCATAAGTTATCAGTTTCCTTGGGAATGTGAAGGCAACAAGTACTGGTAAACTAATTAATAACATGCCCAGGAATGATGCTGTGGCTAAATTGTGCTCTGGTAAATGCAATGTGGCTTACTGTCTTAATCCCGAGTGAAAACTACCAATACCAGCTGCTATCAAAAGTTTGGCTGTTCTATCTTATGTACATCCAATATTTTCATCAACCAATTAAAAACCTGAAGTTACCAGTTAAGCTTAACAGTTCTTGTTTTGAAACAACAACAAACTTTTCATGGTAGTTTCTATAATTGTAAATTTTGATGATTAAATGGTACAGAGTACAATTTATGTACAAATAAAATTTCATGTTAGAATTCATTAACATTTGATATTATATATTATAATTGTTATTTCAGATGCCTATTAAATGGTTAGCCCTAGAATGTATACAAAGCAGGATTTTCACACATAAATCAGATGTATGGAGTTATGGTATGTTTGTTTTTATTTCTTTCATTTTGTTTGGTTAATATGTTAAGAAATATGGTTGCTATAGCAACAAATATACTAGAAGTATTTTAATAATGGTAATTTAACAACGACTCGCCCCTGACAGGGTTTGAACCCACACGAACAGCGATCCTTAGATTACTAGTCCGACGTGATAACCACTCAGCCATGCGCCACACCTATTAATTTTGTTATAACTCATCTATTATGTTTAAATCATTCACAGGTGTTACAGCTTGGGAGTTATTTACATACGGCGCAAGACCATACGAGAATGTACGAGCTCGCGATGTACCGGACCTTTTAGAGAAAGGAGAACGATTACCTCAACCAGCTATCTGTACCATTGATGTATATATGATCATGATCAAATGTAAGACTTTAATTTACCATTTACTGAAAAGTCTTTATTTTTAGTGGGGCACTAATTTTCGTGGTTTTCGTGGATAGGTCAGTCAACGAATTTAAGATCCAACAAAATTTAATTTTGTCTGCTGTAAGATTATTTTGCATCACATTATTAACATTTTACATTTTGGAAAAATATACAATCCACGAATTTAAAAACCAACAAATTTAATGCTCTTTGTGACAAATTCGCGGAATTAAGTGAATTCAGTGTAAGATCGAAATTTATTTCACCTCGTGAATACCAAAAGTTAATATTTCACTTGTGGCTGCGCCACTTGTGAAATATACCTTTTGGCGCTCAATAGGTGAAATAAATTCCGATCTGACACTGAACTAAACAAATATCCTCTATATAATTTTTTTATATCATTTTCTTAATTATAAAAAAGCAGTCAATAAGTGACATAAATTTGTTATAAAGACTTAATGAAGGGTTATATGGCTGTATATAACAGTATTTTGCTATATAATATATAACATGGCCCTGGTCATATTTGCTTACAACTGAACCTTATAACATGTCAACAAATCTTTATAACAAATTTATTATATTTTATTTACTGCTGTCTCATGTGTATAAAAATACTAATAAACATTTGGAAAGTTGTTTTATTTCTTTAATTCAAATATTTTCAAAATTTTAAATATAATTTTTTCGATGTTTAGGTTGGATGTTGGATGCTGAAAGTAGGCCTTCATTTTCTGAGTTAGCTGAAGAATTTGCAAAAATGGCACGTGATCCCGGACGTTATCTGGTGATACAGGTATATATGACCGTATTAATGTGTTGTCTTTATTTACACACTTTATATTATCTTCTATCTAAGGAAAAAAAATTACATATTGATATAAGTTACTTTATGATGGCTTTGTTTTGTTTTCTTTAATAGAGAAATAAGATGGTTTGTGGTTTAAAGTACATGTTATAAATGTTTATCTAGGGTTTGACCACATAACTGCAGTAACTTATGAAATAAAGGACTTACAACAGTTTTGCGGTCAACCCTCGCTATGTGGTTCGATAATTATGTAGTTGAGTACAAACATTATAAATACTATTATTGAAGGGTGGTATCAAAGATTATTTTCTGAATTGTTTGAAACATTATATTTTAGAAGTACTTGATTGAAAACCATCCTGTTGTAAGGAATAAGTTCATTGATTTTTGACCAGTGAAGTGAAAATGGTTTACTTTATTACAATTGAAGGTCTAGTTTATTTCTAAGATTGATAATATAGATTATAAATAGATGATGTTTATTGTTTATGTAATGACAGTTCAAGGTTATATTTAGAATGAAATAAACATTATTCTTTATCACAAAGCATTTTATAAATATGATTCTACATGTACAAATTCATTTACACTGTAACAACACTGGTGTCACAATGCTTTTCCTTTACTATTTATTTTTCATATTTTAAAAATATATTTTATAAATACATTTATTTAACAAGTGCAAGCTTAGAATTCTGGTCGATAACTGAGTAAGGTTTTTAAAGCAAACCTGAACTTATTTTCAATATACATTGTATATTTAACATGTTGTTAAGATGAAAACAAAAACTAATATGATTAAAAACTTGATTTTTATAGAAATTTGTTTATGCAATGTTATATGCAAATGCTGGCACAGTTAAAAAAAATGTTATAATAATAACAACTTGTATAGAATATTGAGATACATTATTGTTGCACTTAACTCATATCAAGTTTAAATTTCATTTCTTTTTTTTTTTTCAAGTTCAATATCATTTTATTAAGTGTCTCTTGTTAGGTTTAGATTGAAAGAAGTAACAATAATAATACTAATAATAAAGACTTTATTTAAAGAGGCTAACTTTAAGTTAGGCAAGCCTAGTCTTTCCTATGAGCCTCTATCAAAATGTACATATATACAGTTACAAACTGATACTGATTCATCATATTGAATAGAATACTGGTTTTTCTTCAGTAAGATATGTTCCATAATATTCTAAACATTACATAAAGTATAAAAATAAAACAACTATATTTTTTACTTGATGTTAAAGAGAAATGTGTTTGTATTTCACCAGTGCCACAGTGTGTTTAACATATTTCTTACTTCCTATTGAGATTAAATAATACTTGTTTTTTTGTGATGACTGTTTGAAAATTAAATTAAAGGGCTGTAAAAGGATTAATTGACTAACTAACTGAAAATTTGATAGTATAAGATAAGTGATAAATCAAGATAAATAATATTATTAAAGAGGCAGCACAGTAACGCAAGGCCAGTCTTCCCTGTGAGCCTCTGTAAATAATAAGTTAATATTTGCTAAATGTAAAATAATATGTACAAAATGAAGTGAATTCAGATGCAAATCTTAGTAAATAATCATAATAATTAGAACATGTGAAGGTAAAAATGTCTTTTTTTAGAAAAAAAAAAAACCAAACAAATAGAAATACAACAGAGTTTGACACAGATGAGTGCAAATTAAAAACCATTTAAACACATATAGTTTTTGTTAAATATGTCCAAAAGAGATTGAATTCTTGTTTTAATTTCTCATTTTTCCATCTCAGATAGAGCAAGTAAGAATTCAAAGTTTGCACTAAATGTTGCTTTTTTTTACTTTATTTTTTATCATTTTATTTATTTATTTAATTTAATTTTTTGTTCATATTTTAACCTACTGTATACCTAATTCTCTTGAAAACAAATTTTTTGTTACCCTATATTTTAATATTAAAGAAGGGAGGTAATTTAATTGAACTGTTCTATAGAAAGGGGAGTTAATTTGATATACCTGGTAACTTAAAAAGCATTTTCCAAAGAATGACCAAAAATGTGACTTAAAATGGGCTTATTATACTCGTAAGGGGGTTTATTTGTTCATTGATTCGTAAGTCATGTAATCGTCAATCCTTATAGATATAATTCTATAAAAGGGAGGTAATTTCACTTCAATATAATTCTATAAAAGAGAGATTATTTCACTTCAATGAACTGAAATTTGTTGGGAATTGGGTGTAATGAAAACAAATATCAGTTTATTAAAACAGTGGCATTTGTGGGTAAAAATCTCATTTTTTAAGCTGATTATCAGACAAGGTCATCATTTAAGTGGTAGTATTATGCAACATTTACAAAGTCAGCTGATTATTTCTTATATTTCAAAAAATGGAATATTTTTAATATGATCATGGCTGTAATTAAAACCATGATATGATTGTGAATCATATTATTTTTAAAAGCCTGGAATATAACATTATGTGATATCTTATTGTTGAAAAAAATAAAGAATCATAGAACTGTAAATAAAAACAAGCACCAAATAAAGAAAAAACAATTACACCAAAAAGGCCAATAATTACCTTCTTTCCACGAATTCTCAGATTATTGTTTACAGTGAAAACATTTGCTCTTGTGTCTTTTCTGTAAACAAATCTTATTTGTTGTGAATATCTAATTTAAGAAATAACTTAAATATTGTAGTGTGATTATAATGATCAATTTGAAGTGGTAGTTCATTAATCAATCATACTAAATGTTCATATTATAACATATTTTATATTGTGACGTAAATCTGAAAGGCATGCCCCTTTAAAAGATAGCATGGAAAAAAATTAATAAATCAGGATTGGTAACTCTATGATAGCCCGGGGAGATGACAGACAGGATGGTGAGAACAATACAGTGCAGGGACAAAGCTGTGCTTACCTGGCCACATTGCTGTAAAAATAAAATGTCCTGTGTATAGCAAGGACAGCCTACACGTTCATGTTGTCAGACCGGTTTCTATTTCCACAATTTTCTCAGGATAGAGAGGGATTTTTTCGTGATTGGGTTGCAATTTTCAGGGAGTTTGGTGTGTAGGATTTTTTTTTTTTTTTTTTTTCGGAATCCTTTTTTATAGCAACAAATTGTTCACGTGACAAAGCCAAACCATGTCCATTACACAAATGTTAGACTTTATGTTATTAGGGAAATAAGGGATGATAATAATATGTGGTTTACAAGGGACAAAATTCCTGTAGCTAAAGTTTTTTTAATTCAACAAAATCATGTCAATGTTAAAAACTGTGTCAGTGTATATAAGAAAAAAGATACTATGTCAATGTAAAATCATTTGAATGTTCCAATAACTGTGTCAATGTTAGAGCTGTGTCAGTAAACAAATAAAACCCACACAAAAATTGTAAATGGAAGTTAAAGATTATACTTTTGTATTGGTTTAAGAAATCATATTGGGGTAAAAAATACTATGTCAAAGTAAAGATTATACATACAAGTGTAAAAAAGAACATGCCAATGTAAAGAATGTCATCATGAAAAAAAGAAAACGTCCTTTTAAAAAGGCAATGTAAATATGAAATAAATAACAAGTCAATGTAAAAAAATGTCATTGCAAGATAAAAAGCATGTTCCTTTAAAAAAAAAGGCCATGTCAGTGTAAAAAAAAATGTCATTGCAAGAAAAAAAAGCATGTCTTTAAAATAAGGCCATGTCAATGTAAAAACAACAACAAAAAAACTTGTTAGTGTGAAAACTATATCAATGTTAAAACCATGTCAATGATATGACCACACAGGGCGATGAGTTGAAGAAAATTCCCTCAGAAGAGGTTTTAGATGAAATAAAAGTTGAAACAGTGACGGACAGCATAGAGGAGGTACCAGTCTCGACCTATTTTTAGCATGGCGTGTCCCGATCATGTATTTATAGTGTGCATGATACGTTCTAAAATTGCATAATCAATCCCTTATGTTTTAATAATTGTGCAAGTCGAAACAGTTTCGTGTTGGCTAATTTGTAGAAAGTGTTTGATATAAAAGATATATATATATATTATTTATTTGTTGTTGTCAGTATAAAATAACAATGGGTTTTGTGTTAAGATTAGAAATATGTAAATATAGAAACGAACATTTTTGTCGAATCTGTGCACGACCTGTTGTAATTGCCTACGATATATTTTACTTGCATCTGCAGTAAGTCTGGCACTGGGGTGAAAATGTTCTCAAGTTCTACAAGTTTTCCTCGTTTATTTTTATTTTTTTGAGTACATAGTAAACGGCAGTGTTGTATTTATCAATTGCATGATATTGCTATATGTGAAACTGTCCTAAAATATCGGAAATTTAAAATCTGTTCTAATATTTTTATTTGGCAGTTTTGTGGGTTTTTTTTAAGCAAACAGAAAAGAACAAATATTTTGTAAATTCATGATAAAATTTTGTCTGATTTATGTTCAAACATGTTTTTAAGAAACTTAAGGACAGTTTTACAGTTACTTATACAGTACTGTGGCATTTAAAATGAAAATCGAAGAAAAGTTTGAAATGTGGTACCATGTTATCAACTTAAGGATGAACAATCCTTCATAATAAATTAATCTGGAATTTGAAACTTAGTTTTTAAATAAATGATTACATTAGAGCATTTGTTAATAAATAACATTAAAAAATGCCACATTTCTGTGTAGAACTTGCAAGGTATGTTAGTAACAAGGACTGTTTTAGGCCAGTTTATTTATGGTAGAACATCCAATATGACTTTATATATAATAAATTAGGAGTAATTATACGAGGGTAGTTGAGGGAGCAGTTTATAAAATCAATGGTTCTTCCTAGGTACACCCCCTCCTCCCATGATCCCCCATTTACCAGAAATAATTGATCATGTTTATACATACACCCCTCCCCACCCTACCCTAAATGTAAAAAGTCATATTGGTTGTACAACCTTGATGTATATATATACCCCTTTCAAATGTTTTTTGTGGCTAACTGTCTATATTGTACTTTAACTAAAAGGTAGAAAGTTTTACACATTGGAGAGGGAGTTTAAAGAAAGGCTTAAATTAGGCTTGCTAGTTTTCTTAAAGATTAAAGTTTTCTTCCTAAAGATAGTTTTGTTAGGGTAACATTTAGTAGTATCATTCCTAGATACCATTTAAGTATTTGTAAAGATTTCTTTTGCTTTTAGGGGCATGTGTAGAACTTTTTTTTGAGAAGTTTTTAAGACACAATTATGAAAAATATTATTGAATTAAATGAAATTAAGTTTTTGATGTGTTATGGGGGAAAATAATGAAAAAATAATATTGATAAATATGGTATAACTCTAACTTTTATTTTGTTTAAGATATTTGTCTTTCATTAATGTTTGTCTTAGGCAGTTGTTCAATATAGTTTCTGTGGAGGTTTTAAATAACAAGTTCTATTAGGACAGAATTTGGTATTTCTTCCCATTTGCCATCTGCCTTTATGTTTTAGATAACTTAATACTTTCAATTGGCACTAAACTTAAAAAGCATTAGCTCTTATCTATACAAGAAACTATAGCTTTGGTTGTTAAGAGAATAGTGTCAAAAGTATGGAGATCTAGAACTTCTATTTGTCACTCGTGGATTTTACTAGAAAGAATCTTACTTGGTGCTTCAGAGACTAGTTAAGATCCTGGTCAAGTAAAATTCACTTTAGTCAATAAAAGTTCCAGACCAAAATACCTGTACAATATTAGTTATAAAGATTTTTGACAGGTTATATGGTCCTATATAAATGGTTGTTTGTATATATAACCCGAGCCACTTGGAAAGCAATATAATGCAAACAATCATATGATTTTCTTTTTGTGAATGTTGAACATGCAGTAAATAAAGGCTTTATATAAAGCAAAATGTGTGTTAATATTAGAAAGGTTAAAAGTGTGCTCTAACATGTTTCTTTCTAACTGTATTATTAAAACTATTTTCTGAAGTTGAAGTGCTAAATCTTGACATATCTCAAACATCCAAGGGCAATAACTCTTACAAACTTACCTTCATCTTTGTTCCTGTCAAAGGTAATACATGATGGTAGAAACATATATATTTTGTATTATTTCAGGGAGATAAGTTAATGAGACTACCTAGTTATTCATATGATAAAGATGACCTCGCCCGACACCTCAGTGTGGCAGCAGAAGGACCGGAGGAGGTGATTGAGGCAGACGAATATTTACAGCCAGCACCTCCCGTACCCATGCCGGTAGAAAATAATAACTTTAAGGTAGGTTAACATCCCGTACCCATGCCTGTAGAAAATAACAATTTTAAGGTATGTTAACATCCCGTACCCATGCCGGTAGAAAATAATAACTTTAAGGTAGGTTTACAGCCAGAACCCATGCCGGTAGAAAATAACAACTTTAAGGTAAGTATAGGAAGTCAAACATGTAGATCCCAATGCAACAGAATTAATATAGCAACCTGTGAAACTCGCACTTGCCTCTTGCTAAAAGGCATTGGTGTAGACCTGTGACCAAAAGTAAAGGATTCCCTGGCACAACTGTCATGTGTTGTATTTAACCACAGTTATTGAATTAGAGATATTGATAATATTTCTACAGTAGTAGGACTGTAGGTAACACTTACATGTTAACCCTTGTTAAATAAATTTTAGGTTAATATTTAAGTTTTTGGTAACGGCCCTTAATGAAATCCTATTTATACACTGTTGATAAAGATTGGTTGTTTTTATTATCAGGTACCACATTTTTCTGGGGCATCAAATAAAGAACCCCCACAACTGATCCGTGAAAAGCGATATGGCCATCTTGAATCTGCGTCTGCTGCAAAACAACAAAGAGATCTGTTGCCTAGCAACCGTTTGCGTGGAGATAGCATCAATGGAAGATACAGTTCCGACCCTGTAAAATATACAAGAAGTAGAGGTAAATGTCAGTACCCAGTGACCTGTATCTTGATACCCTGTCAAAGGAGAAGAGATATGGATTTTGCTTTGTCCATCGGACTGTTCATCCATGTGTCAAATCTTTTGAAGTACATGTATATATCTAATTTAAGTCAACTTAAAAAAAAAGAAAAAAGCGAGCATAATGCAACTTTAGCTTACTGTTTAAGAATTATAATTTTATGTGATTTGCTGGTCATTGAGAGTAATTTTTCACATTTAATTTTCACAGATCAAAACTTCATACATCAATGCATTGATAAATGTTATGGAAAACAACATTGTCCAAGAACTATATCTTTTTTGCATAAGTCTTACCCCTCTTTCCTATTTTTCCTTTTTGATTTATTTTAGGGCATTTGACTTTTAAGCTCACCTGAGCATGCTCAGGGTGAGCTTTTAGGATCGATGATTGTCCGTCGTCCGTTCACATTTAGTTGTTAACACTCTAGCGGTCACATTTTTGCCTCAATCATCATCAAACTTGGTCAGGATGCTTATCTAGTTGATAGCTCGGATGAGTTCGAACATGGGTCATCTCGGATGAGAAACTAGGTCACAAGAGCTAAAAATAGAAAAACCTTGTTAACACTCTAGAGGTCACATTTTTGCCTCAATCATCATCAAACTTGGTCAGGATGTTTGTCTAGGTGATAGCTCGGATGAGTTCGAACATGGGTCATCTCGGATGAAAAAGTAGGTCACCGGAGCTAAAAATAGAAAAACCTTGTTAACACTCTAGCGGTCACATTTTTGCATCAATCATCATCAAACTTGGTCAAGATGCTTGTCTAGGTGATAGCTCGGATGAGTTTCCAACATGGGTCATCTCGGATGAAAAAGTAGGTCACCGGAGCTAAAAATAGAAAAACCTTGTTAACACTCTAGCGGTCACATTTTTGCATCAATCATCATCAAACTTGGTCAGGATGCTTATCTAGTTGATAGCTTAGATGAGTTCGAACATGGGTCATCTCGGATGAAAAAGTAGGTCACCGGAGCTAAAAATAGAAAAACCTTGTTAACACTCTAGCGGTCACATTTTTGCATCAATCATCATCAAACTTGGTCAAGATGCTTGTCTAGGTGATAGCTCGGATGAGTTCGAACATGGGTCATCTCGGATGAAAAAGAAGGTCACCGGAGCTAAAAATAGAAAAACCTTGTTAACACTCTAGCGGTCACAGTTTTGCATCAATCATCATCAAACTTGGTCAGGATGCTTATCTAGTTGATAGCTCGGATGAGTGTGAACATGGGTCATCTCGGATGAAAAAGTAGGTCACCGGAGCTAAAAATAGAAAAACCTTGTTAACACTCTAGTGGTCACATTTTTGCATCAATCATCATCAAACTTGATCAAGATGCTTGTCTAGGTGATAGCTCGGATGAGTTCGAACATGGGTCATCTCGGATGAAAAACTAGGTCACAGGAGCTAAAAATAGAAAAACCTTGTTTACACTCTAGTGGTCACAATTTTGACTCAATTGTCATCAAACTTGGTCAGGAAACTTGTCTAGGTCATTGCTGGAAAGAAATTGAATATGGGTCATCTCGGATGAAAAAGTAGGTCACCGGAGCTAAAAATAGAAAAATCTTGTTAACACTCTAGTGGCTACTGTTGTGATCCAAATATTCTGTTAATTGGTCTGAAAGTTTGTTTTGATGATTTCTAAGTCAAGTTCGTACATTGGTCATCTTGGATGAAAAAAACTAGGTCACACCGCCCAAATATGGAAAAACCTTGTTAACATTCTAGTGGTCACATTTTTGACTCAATTATCATCAAACTTGGTCAGGATGCTTGTATAGGTAATTGCTTGGATGAGTTCGAAATCGCATGTGGAACTAGGTCACCGGAGCTAAAAATAGAAAAATCTTGTTAACACTGTAGTTGCTACGGTTTTGATCCAAGTATCCTTGAAATTGGTCTAAAAGTTTGTTTTGATGATTTCTAGGTCAAGTTTGAATATGTGTCACCTGGGTAAAAAACTAGGTCGCACTGCTCAAATATGGATAATCCTTGTTAACACTGTAGTGGTCACATTTTTGACTCACCTGTCATGAGACTTGGTCAGAATGCTTGTCTAGGTAATTGTTTGGATGAGTTTGATAAATCAGGTGAGCGATCTAGGGCCATCATGGCCCTCTTGTTAATAAATTTTTCCTAATCTATTTTAGGGCCATAAATCTAAAAGTGATTTTATCTATCAATATTAAAATGTCATTAAAAAGTGATACAGAGCATACGACTTTTAAATGAAATATTTATTCTCTGACAAAAATAATACTAAGAAGATTCAGTGAAAAAATTCATGACAAGGGATATTAATTTAAAAAAAAAATTCTAGAATTGAATATTCCCTTATTATGTAGGCCACTAAATGCATCTTACAAACAATTTGATTGATAATTTATATCATAGGTTAAAATGCTGTTAAAATTTGTTGCATTTTTAGCCTGTATATTAAAATATCACCCTTGACCCTTGGCAGTCAGTTATTTTCTTTAGCGCATCTGTTGCCTAAGATAAATATGAAAACCCTGTCAAATAATTTTCTATATCAATAAGCTCTATCAGAGAAAGTTTTGGATGTTTTTAACAAGTTTTTTCGACCCTTTATCAAAAAAAAAAAGTAATGTCACAGTTTGTTTTCCTCATAAGTATTGCATTTTCTGTTCCAAATAAAAATTAAAAACAAATAATTCTTTCTTAACATAAAACTATAAGTATTTGTTTGGTTGATGAATGGGAAATTTCAAATGACTTTAAAAACTCGCTAAATTTTGTACTGATGTTGGGAAAGGGAAAAATACGGACATATAACATAATTATTTTATTGTAGATGAGATGGATGGTAGAGTTTTGTTTCATTATCCTCACATGGGTAATGGTAACATACCACAAAATTATAGAGGTCCCAAACCTGTGAGCCCGCCAGCGGTGATGCAACTACCACTAGATGAAGACGACTATCTTCAACCCAAATCTGCAAACCCTAAAGCTTATTTGGACTTGGAAAATAGTAAAGGTGTCAATTTTATTTTTTATATGTGATAAGTTTATCAAAATTATGAGTTCATTAATCATGTGATTTCTAATAGTGTCAAAACTATTTAAGGTTTGAAATTGGTCAAAGCACTAAAGCTTTGAAAAGTCAACTGACCTTATACAGTGTAAGAAATTTGAATATTCACTAGCTCGAAAGACATTTCACTAGCACAAATCATTTGTCAAAACAGTTGTTTATATTGCCTCTGAAAATACAGTAGCCTGGTCGGGCTTGTTACTCTGAAAAGTTGGTAGCCTGAGGAGAAATTTAGTAGTCAGGGGCTATAGGACTACTGCTAATTTCAAACACTGCTTATACATTAACTTGTTATATCAGTACTTTGTTTTTTAAGTGTGTAATTGTACATTTATTTAATGTGAGAGGAATGCATGGCCATGTTTAGGGTACCTCTTTGAATTTATTACTAGCTTGTCATTGGTGTGTGTTCCAGCCTTGCTAGGAATATCAATTCTTATCACATAAACCATGATGCAGGAGTGTAATAAAGCCATTTGATAAAAAAAAAACAATAGTGTAATAACACTTTAATGTGACATCATCTGCGTTATATACAAATATAGCATTAAAGCAAACTTATGTTAGCATTACACTTTAAGCACATCAACAAAAAATTACTCTTTTTCAGCTGTAAACCGTTCTTATTTTGGATTTTTGATAAATAACATGTTAAATTAGTGTAAATTCAATGCTAAATTTATTGAACTTGTTGAATAAAACAATATGTTCACATCTTATTGTTGAATAAATTTACTACTAATTGTACGCTCATTTAATATCCTTTGTATATTATTGTAAGGTAGCAATCATTAAGTGTGTTACTTAAATTGTATTGTCATACACAAATAAAAAAAGTTTGGTTTCATATGATTTCATTAATGTTTTTCTTTTGTCTTTCAGATTATTATATAAATGAAAAACAAATGTCCGTTGAGGACCCTACAGACAATTATTTAATACCAAATCCGCCCCCACCGTTTGTTGAAAATCCGGAATATTTCGAAGGGGAACCAAGTGTTTTTGCACGGACTGCTGGTCCTAAACGAGACCTTAGTGTTAAACCTAAAATCGCACCAAAACCAAAACGATTAACTGACTATTATAATGATATTTCTATGGGTAGCCCGACAGAAAATCGGCAAAACGAGGTACGACCACTCTTATCAACGTCATCAATTTGCTCAAACGGAGAATCTGCAGTGTAGTGATAAATTTAGGTGGTTTTTTAAAAACAATTTTGTGATAGTCAAAACTCATGGATAGATCCAAGAACATTTTTCTTACCCACTGGAATGTCTTGGAGAATATGTTTATAAAAAGTGAACAAAGGGAGATCAGGATCAAGAAGGAAGGCGAAATTATTTTCATGATTTTGCTCGTTTCCGATACTGATAAACAATGATTACAAGGTTATGTTACTTTTTGTTGTCCGGTTTAAAACGGAATTAAAAAATCTCATATGCGGAGAACCATTCAAAACAACCAATTATTTGTATAACACAATGTTTTTCCTAAAACATTTAAAGTGTTAACAGTCAAAATCCCCATTCTGTTGTTTGAAATGAGGTGAGCTTGCACTAGTGGATAAAATTTATGATCATCCTTTAATGAAGTCTCTTTTAAAAAGCACTTTTTGAAGCTGCGTATGCTTAGAACCATGTTGTAATGATGTCATTATAGAACCATTCGAAACAATGCTTAGCTAGCACTTGTCTGTCAGCTGAAAATAATAAAATGGCATCTACATGGCATGTTTTGAAAGGATGTCTACACTGAATCAATATGAAATGAAAGTATGTTCACTCGATTAAGAATAAAATCTATTAAGAATTTATTTGAAATAATTTTTGACTAGCAAAGTGGAAAATGACGCCTCCTCAAGTGCGATTTTCATTGTTGGCGTATGCCTTTTATAAATTGAAAAGTGCTATGTTTTAGAAGCATAATTTCTGTGCACAACCAAGCGGAAATGATCGAGAGCCGTCCATGTTGTCATGTGCTAAAAATAATTACCTGAAGTGTGCACCAGTCTACCAGTCTGGGAAAATTTGTTCTGCATGGAAATATTGTACATGTATATCAAATGTTTTACCTGTTACAAATTAACGGAACTGAAATGTGGATACTTAAAGTTGTGATAACATTTATATAATAAAAATGGCACAAATCTCTGTGTACAGTTGCAATACCCCTTTTAAATCTGTTTAACATTTCACAATAAAAATGCCCATCATTTGTGTGCAGTTATGATTGTGATGTATTTGCCTGTATTATGCACAGCTTTGTGCTTTAGAACTCAAAATGTTCACCGTTTTTTTTTTATATGTATAACCATAAAAGTTGTTTGTGATAAACAATACATATTATAACATATATTATATGCCAAAACCTGGGGAACATAATTATTTCATCAATGATTTTATCTCAAAATTGTGATAGCATTGTCCCTTGAATTTTTTTTTTTAATTCTCAATACTTTCTGCAACCCCCTACTTTGTATCTTATTAACCATGAATTTTGCAATAAACTTTTGATCTTACAGTATACATCAATATATCTGATTTAAATATGACATATGTATGAAGTATACATATAATTTAAGATATTGTCACCAAAAACTAAATTTTCAAACTTTCATTTTGTTAACAATAAGTGCCTTTACCTGGCAGGTGTCCAAATGATTTACATGCAAGTCTTTAAAATTGTTTTTCCTTCCTTGCTTACCAATAAACAAACAAAAAAACACCCTTTTTTCTTTCAAGATTTTTTGGGAATGGACTATATTTATGTTATGGTAAACTGTTGAATTGCCTAATTTTAAGAACATTTTAATGAGAGACAAAGCTGTAAAGTGTATACATGTGTATGCCTCTGTAATTGTTAAAATGTTGTTCACCCATTTTGCTTCTGAAATGTCCTTGTTAAACATTTTATGTATGTTATTGTTATTTGAGCTGCTTCACAACAAAAACCAACATAGTGCATTTGCAACCAACATGGATCCAGACCAGCCTGCACATCCACACAGTCTGATCAGGATCCATGCTGTTCGTTTTATCAAGTCTATTACAAGTACAGAAACTGATAGTAAACAGCATGGAACCATGATCAGACTGCGCGGTTGTGCAGGCTGGTCTGGAACCATGCTGGTCGCAAACGCACTATGTTGGTTTTGTTGTGACGCGGCGCATTTGTCATTACATTGACGAGATCTCATGTTGAATTTGCAATAGAACAAACATGCCGCCAGTTCATTGGTTGCATAATTTCACTGCTACTCATACGTAACTAACGTACAGATTAATTGTTACTATATGTAGATTTAGTCAAGGTTTAATTTCTGTATTTTGTCACTTACATGTATAAGATGTGCGTTTCTTGCTCATAGCTTTTGAGCTTACAAATTATCTGTCGTATATAACGAAATGTGTATAAGAAAACTATTTATAGAATAGAGCCTGCTTAATGATAAACTCCTGTAACAATTTTCTAATTTTATACGGGCACACTTCTTTGCATATTAGTGCCCCTTTTTGTCTTAAAAGAAAAATTTGGTTAAGTTTTTGCCAGTTATTTAACTGCTGAAGGGACTGGTTTGAAACTTAACACAGCTTTTTGAGAGCGTTCTATAGGAGGTCACTATCAAAGGCCAATAACTCTAACATGTATTTTAACAGAATATTGACCCTTTTTGAACTTAGAATATTTTACATTATCCCGGCTAGTATTTTTACTTATCAAGAACTGATAATAAGGAAGCATGCTGTTCAATCGACAGCTCTTGTTTTGATTATTGCCCTAAACCGCAAAGCAAATGAAATATTTTTAAACATGTTGCAGAAAGTTTTAGAAGTATTGTCTTTTATTTTGATGATGAAATTCTTATAATTTATGATTTAAATGTACAAAAGTTACGAGATTTTATGATAAGATATTGTGTTCATATTTGATAAAAATTTGTGTTTTTGTTTAAATCAAGTGGCGCCCTCTATTCATTCTATAAATAGCTATGTTGTCATTTATCATATCAAGATTTTTAAACAAATGATATCAATGTTTTTACATGTTACTTTTTGAAATAAAAGTTTTACACTTGTGAATTTTTAAAGGCTGTTTTAATGTGTAAATGAAATTATGTATTCTACCGAAATTTTAGATTATTTACATAATTTATTTAATTTTATAAATTTACTAAATTTAACTGTTTTTATATTACTAACATATTCTTATTATTAACTTTGCCAACATCTCTTTAAGATTTGAAAATTTGCGGACATTGTTTGTAAAAACAAAAAATAGGGCATTATAAGAGAATTTGAAAATTTTATTTGTAAGTATAAAATTTATATTTAACTGAAAAGTTTTACGGCATGTTTTGCCAAATGAAATATGAAAAATATCTAATTTCAAAGTAAGATATAATTGAGATTGCAAACCAATTTACATATTAATTTATGAATAAGAAAGAATTTTTACAGTAAGTGAAATGTTGTAATAGAAGCCATATTTCGCTGACTTAATACAGTACTTCATATGATAGCATGGTATAAAAATTATTTATTTATTTATAAACCTTAATAATGAGTATAATATGAAAAGTGGGGTGAGTTAAATTTTTACAAAGGATTAAATACAGTGAGTAATATTTACCATATCTCACTAATGAATCCCCGTATTTCATATGTTACGCTAAAAAGGAAAAACATATAAATTTATGATGTTATATAACCATATCTCACTGTAAAGAAATGTGTTTCACATGTTAAGTGTGGCATAAACTACTTATTAGCCCATTTCATTTTTTCGGCTTAATGTGGCCTTAATATGATTTGGATTATTTTTTATTTATGTACATTTACGCTTAGGTAAGCGAACAGTTTGAAGATATTGTTTACAACATTTTGAAGTTTTTTATATTATAGTTTGAAGTTTTTGATACAATGTGCAGTCAGCACTTTTTACCTTTATACTGTTCTATTAGTTCTGTTTAAAAAGTTAATATTTGGATGACTTTTGTATATTTACAAGTTAAAGAGTTGTTATAGAACTTATTCAGGTATTATTTTGACTCACGTTTGGTTATGTTTAACAATTACTCTATAGTTGTGTGGGGAAACTCCTTTTTATTTGAAAATTCATTTGTCAAGTATTTACAAATATTTCATTTCAACTTTTCCCATATAGGCAATTTTGAACAAATTTACAAAACTGTAATCCTTATTTATACAGTTTACTCATTCTTGCCCAAATACTCGATCCAACAGGGGAAGTAATCTTATGATCCAATAGAGGAGATAATCTAATAAACAAGTTTAAAAAAGGGAGATAATTACTTCTATAGTTTATTATTGAAAATTATATGACTGAGTTGTGAAAATTTTAGTGACTTTAGGTTGTTTGATCTCGCATGTTTGTGCCATTTAATGTGGTTGTCAAATAATGTTATACCTGACCTTGAAGTAGTGGAAATTTTCAAAATATGCCGTGCAAACAGACAAATGGTATTTCATTTCTGACAATTTTTGTTTGTTTTGAAATATTCATTTTAAACTTAGTAAATGACATTGTCACAACATTTGATGATAATTATATAAAGTTTTGACCTTGGAATGCATGTTGTCATCCTTAACCTTTTGGAGACAAACTTATGTCATGTATATGTTGGTCTTTTTTCTAATTCTTGTTCTCTATGCAATGCCTCATTCAACTTAACCAAATTTTCTTTTTTTCCCCTCATTTTTTTCATTGCTTGAATCAGCAAATCGGCAGATATTATGTAACTTAACTTTAGAAGCCAAAACATGTAACTTATGAGATTACATAGAAAAACATGAGCCGCACCATGACAAAACCAACATAATGCATTTGCGACCAGCATATATCTAGACCAGCCTGCACATCCGTGCAGTCTGATCAGGATCCATGCTGTTCGCTTACCAACTCTATTACAAGTAGTGAAACTGATAGCGAACAGCATGGATTCTGATCAGACTGGGCTGATGCACAGGCTAGTCTGGATCCATGTTGATTGCAAACGCACTGTTGGTTTTGTCATGGCACGGCTCAAATAATATGTACGTAGATTATCTACAGTGTAATTTTTATTTGAACCTCACTTACTGATATAATCAGTTTAGATTTATTGTGTATATTACTGAACAAAATGTGAACAAAAAAGCCATCTGTCAACATGAGCCAGGTACAAATAAAAATGTCAACTGTTACCCCTAACTTCTGGTTAATTTCTGATTAACTTCTCGTTATGAACATTTAAACAAA